AAGTTATGACTTGTCTAATAGATTCGTTGACATCCGGTATAGTTAAATTGGGTTTTCATGACAAATTACCATAGCAACGTTTGTATTTTAGTGGAAATTTTGTTCTCGTGGGTACTCACCAGCAGCGTATGAAATCGAAATTTTTTTATGACGTTTCAATGACAGAATAATATCTTGACGTACTAAAACAGAATGGGCTTATATCACAAAACATTTTTATTTCATAATTCGATAGAACTCACCCAAACTAGCTCACCACCGCAAACCGTTTCTTGTTGTGAGCTCCCTACGTTTTTTATAAAATTATTGAAATCCCCGATTTTTCGGACCTTTGAAAACGAGGCGATGATGTGACGTCAAAACCCTAATACTGAAACAAGACTATTCCAGACAATGAATGATACATGATTTCTAACAGAGTGAATTAGCGCGAGATCACAGTTGAAAGAATTAATATATCAGTTGCCTCAGTCTCCATCGGGCTTTTGGTATTTTCTTTTAACTATGGCGAGATGAGGTTTCTACGTCATAAGAGGGGTCCGTTTTCAGAAGGTACTATTATTTATGTCCAAAAATAAAACATTCCAGTTAATTTTTCGATCGAATCATGTCGTCAATCATTATTTATGTATAAAAGGATCATTATAAACATGGTTTGAGTTAAAAGTCTACTAAGGTGTACACGCCCATTGAATTGAAGACGAAGATTTTTGACCACCGTTCGAACCAGATTGACAGGAGCACACAGCCAATAGAAATTAGAGCATCAAATTATGCATTATCTCAATAAAACATTAATAAAATACGAAACTGGTCATATCCATGAGTTCGATAGTCAATCAAATCAAAGTTGATCGAAAAAATGCAACTTTACGTTTCATGTGTTGAGCAGTTTATTTTCATTGGTGTGAATCTCTATACGACGAAATTTCGATAGTCTGGTCCTGAATTGAATTTATAATGTCTTGTGCATCTTAATATAGAGCAACAACTTCGATCAGATGGAAGGCAGTGCCAGACGATTTATAGACAAGACTCTGTTACGATATTTGCCAAACGGTACCAATCCACGAAGGACATCCTAAATATAAAGACTTCTAGGAATCTCTGGCCCCCAAACCACTTGTTTATCAATTCGGAGAGAGATTTCGAGAGAAATTGCAGCAGTGATTTTACTCATGGAAATTTATACGGTTCGATAGTGTGTGTGAAAATCATGGAACGAACACCCGCGAATCTTCGAATAAAAATAGCCAGATAATTTCCAGATGTGCACTATCGGGATCGAATTTAGTGAATATCGTTTCTTAATTTCTCTAGGTTTTTGAGTTTTTTTCCTCTCGTTTCTATAAACAGAAATACGATTATAATTTCGATATAATGTTCAGTAAGGACAAATTGAATGATCTGCTTTTAAACATTTCATTATTTGAAAAAACTAAAAAAAAACTTGAATCGATAGTCAAAGACACCTCATTTTGAAAAATGTGATGGCACACATTTGGTTGTCCTATACTTTTGCTATCTCTGAAACGGTTAGAGATAAATGTTACATGGAACATTAGTTGCACATTTTGGGAGACATAAGGATCAAGTGACGCAATCAAAGATATCATGAGCCGTTTCCGTAATAATTGAGAAAACAAGATTGTCGATTTTTGTTTTCAGAGAAATAGTCAGTAGTGAATACCAATCGTTTAGTAAAATGGCGCCAGCCACTACATTCATCAAATAATATACCACAACAAAATTGTATCGTACTATACTATAAGTATCATACTATTTTTAGTGATGATATGAAAAACTTCACAGACATTTTTTCTTCTATTGCATATGTTTTTCAATCTGGAAATATCAGATTTTCGATACAACGTTTCGTTTATCCAGGCCCACCCTCAACCTTTGTTTGAAATACATGTCTGATTTTTTTTCACAAAAATAAATTGGCATTTTTCTTCTGTATATACACACAAGTATCACACTTGTACTTTTTGTCTGTGTATTTTTTTTCTATTTTCCGAAATGAAAGGGCAAGCGCATGAAAACGAAAATCAACAATTTTGTTCTTTCTCAGTTATCTTGGAAACGACTCATGATATCTTTGATTTGATCACATAGTTCTCATGTCAGCCGGAATGAGCAACTTTTGTTCCATTTTACCAATTTCCTATCTCTAACCGGTTCAAAAATAGCATTAGTGGGACAAGGAAATGGCGACCACTCTGTATAGGTATCTCGAAAATAATTCTCAGCAATTGGAGGAAATATTATTGAACCTCAACCATCATACACAGTGTTCAAGAAGTCATTCAACGAATAAGCTTCTAATACGATTAACAGTTTTCTTATTCTTGATTTGTAGTATTTTTTACTACTCGTTACTTTTATGCCATTTGGCAATTTAACTACTAACTAAATTCCAAGAAATCTAGAGAAATGTAGTTCACCTCCCTTGAATTTTTAGTAAATCGATAGACTATTATGTGATTGATTCACTATATTCCTATACAATTTAACTATCCAGAAATCTAGTTAGTCAGAAACAATCTATATAAAAACATTCCCATCGCTTGAACTAGAGCTGATTTCAATAACCTTGTAATATTATCATGAATTCTTCTTGTTTGATACAATCAATTTCAGATAAATTGGTGACGCAATGCAGGACAATGTTATGATGAATTCGCAACTTATTTTGATATTCAAATGTTGAAATCTATTCAGGAACGGATTCACAAAGACAATACCACTTTTTTCTATGTGAGACACCTTCATACTACTCTGAAGTCTGGCTCGAGTCCAAATTGATACATAAACATTAAAGATGAATGGTAGACATTACAGTTGACATAGACTAAACCTGTCCGCAACTCTTTGAATTCAAAATGAAAACAGGTGGACAGAGGTAAGATACTACGACTTTTGTTTATATAAATAGTTTTGTTCCGAGTTCTAATTTCATTTTCCAATACGCATGTATATATATGATAGTGAACCGTACTTACCTACCTTAAGTAAACTACGTTGCGTGATGAACTTGAAGTTTACTATTCCACTTCATCCATACTCGCCTGCCCCCAATCATTATAATTTTTGGATAGCATCTTATACCACAGATTAACAAAGGTTTGTTAATCTGTGCTTATACTTATAAACTCATGCGCTGCCGCCATTTTTGAAGATTGCAAAATGCGCTTCCACCAAAAATCCAACAATGTGATGCGCTCCCACCATATATTGAAATCGTATGAGGGATTCCTTATAGTTTTTCAAACCTTTCAGTATGCATGATAGATGGAACATTATTTCGAAAATTGTAGTTGTTAACAAATTCTCAACCAGAGGAGAAGAATGAAATCTTCATGAACGTGGAACTCTTCCTTGAAAACTGCTACTGAATTTACGGCATACATCTATTTTATATTGATATTTCCATATAGTCCAGTAACTTTGTCGCCTGAACATATGGGGGTAGTATACGTCAAAACCGGTAGTTCTGATTTTTTGCAGACTTCTTCATGATGTTGGCCTAATGAATGATCCAAGTTTTTGACCTCGAGCACCGAACGCAACTTTGTCAAAAATCAAAAAAAAAAAAACGCGAAAAAATCGTAATTTTTTGAAATTTTGGCGATTATAACCCTGAAGGACTAGTTTTTGAAAGAAAATCTCTCAGGACGTTTATAAAGCAGATCGAATTTGCTACAATATGAAACAGAAACTGTCTCTGTAGACCCAATAGTTCTCGAGATTAAGCCTTTCAAAGTTTATAATTTTTTTTCAACTTCGCAATTTTTTGCAATGTTTTTTAGGCGTCACTCGAATATACTCTAGCGGGATGAAGTTTCAATTACCTCCGACGCAGTGTGCTAGTACTGTTCGTGTGAAGTCACGAATGCGACTCCTTTTAATGCAATCTAAACCACGGGACTATTTAGCAGGCAAGATGGCGCCTGGTTGTAGAGCCATCACATATAATAAGTATTGGTTTTCTCTCAGGTACCTGCTACACATCCTTTAGTTTCTCATGATTGATTCTGTTGTTAGATCCTTTCTCTTGATGGCTGCTATCCACATTTCTCTTCTTATTCTTGATAGATCTTTCATCTGTGGATAATGCTCAGAGTTTTTCACAGAATCACAGTAGGAATGTGAAAAAACTAAGCAAATTTTCCCGATCTGCACGGCTTCCACTATCCACCACAATACACGTTACCCGCATTTTTCCATTAAAGTCATATTCACCATCCCCTGATGGGGATATGCCATCCCAATACGTCGATCCAGATCTAGACGAACCTCAACCGGGACCTTCCAAGAGGGCTAGCTAAATTGATCTAATTTTTTTATCTTCAATATTGCTCTATTTCCTAACAAATTAACTCATTAACTTTTGTTGTTCTTATCTTCTTTATTTCATTATTCGTAGCTTAGCTCAAACATCCTCGTTCACACTCCTCATTTTCTATTTTATCATCTTATCATGAAAGTACAGGGCTCGATTGTATAATCAGGGTCAAAATTCAATCAGAACGACAGAATTGCAAAAAATTGCGAAGTTCGAAAAAAATGATAAATTTTGAAAGGCTCAATCTCGTAAACTAATGAGTCACAGAGACAGTTTTTATATTATATTGTAGCAAATTCGGTCTAGTTTTAAAACTTTCTTGAAAGAGTTTTTTCCAAAAACTAGTCCTTTAGGATTATAATCGCCAAAAACGGGAAAAAAAGGATATTTTCGCAGTTTTTTCGATCTTTGACGAAGTTGCGTTCGGCGTTCGAGGCCACAAACTCGGATTATTCATTAGGTCAACATCATGAACGAGTCTGCAAAAAATCAGAACTACCGGATTTAACGCATACTGTGATGTATAAAGTTACTGGATTGATATTTTTATAGTATTTTATACAATGATCACGAACAGGACACTTTTTCATTTCATTATAGAAAATGCATTACTTTTTGATTTCGATTATAAACAATGTCATTTTTGTTCTAGCTACTGGATTAGACCCCACACTATCCGCAGGTTCTCTCTCTCTACCTGGTCAATCCATCGACCTGTTGCGTGCCTTGGGATTGCCCAACAACAGTTGGGAAGGTGTTACGTTGAGGGATGGTCCTAAACCCCAGCCTAGGTGGGCTTACCAACTACAAGGTGAGCATGAAAACATAGAAAAATCACATTCTGCCGAGAAAGTTTATTGGAAATGATAAGATAAGATATTTATTGGTCTTTATGTTACAAATTTATGTACACCGCAAAAAAACAATACACATAATTTGTTTAGACAAGTCAACAATGGCAAGAGATTAACATAATATGAAAGGTATGCACTCATACCCAATACAGGCTAAAATTTAAGATTGAAAACTTATAACTAAGATTAAAATTTCTATAAAGTCAGCACCTTTTCAATTCAATTCAAAACAATTTCATTTGTTCCTTGTTTTATTTATACAATTGATCATCCTACATCAAAAACCTCATTTATTGAGTGAAATGCTTGGCTTAAAAGAGACTGCTTCACCACAAATTTCAATTTTTTTATTGGATAGTTTTTCCATTCTTTTGGAAGCGTATTGTAAATTTTACCGTATAGCCCTCTGATGATTTGATTGAAAGTTGTAGTATCTCTCAGTATGATTATTATTACGATATACAGGGTGTCCTATGAGTCGAGAATCAAAAGAAGTGGGGTGGTAAAGGGGGTCATTTCAAATCAAACTAACCATATATGTGGTTGATTGAATTGTTGATGGTTCAAAAGTTATTAATGTTTTTTTTTTCATTGCTATGAAAAGAATTAATTACAATAAAACAATGTCACATTTGTGATTTTTTCTTTTACAAATTCCACCCACATGGATGCACCTTTCACCAGAAATAATTTTATGACATGTATTACTTCTTTTCAATTACCTGAGAAGAATGTTGTTTTCCTTGAATTTTGTCATCGAATGAAATATTTAAGTCAATTTTTAAATGCAACTGGTCTATTACTTATGGGACACCCTGCATACGCTGATAACGTGAAAGTTTTCTGACGATGAGAATATTTTGGAATGCCAGTTGATACTTGATAGACTAAATTTCAAAAGTTAACTACATGGTGGGTTCGTCATTGTTCATATGATCCAGAAAATGATCTTGCTCCATAAGGTTATTTGGCCAATTTATGAAAATATCATCTGCATATCTCCACTATGTTTTTGAATCTCTATTTTATTTTTTGGCAATGTTTTTTTCAAATTTCTCCATAATAATATCACTCAGAATGGGATATAATGGTGAACACATGGTCATGCCAAAAGTTTGTTGAATAATTCGGGATAAATTTGAAAACACCCTTTATCAACTAATCGTCGAAATATGTTGAGTAGAAGTGTGATATTCCTTTTATATTGTTATATTTCTCTTTCACAAAAATTTTCCAAACGAAGTGTCATCACTCGTGTCTTCAACTATCAATTGGATTTTTCTGTAAGGTTTGCTGATAGTGAAATAATTTTCGAACGCAGGAACATTTTGGGACAAAACATCTGACTTGCTTCCCTATATACATAAGTATAACAAAATAACACTCATTTTTTCTGTGACGGGAAAAAAGTTTGGCATTTCATCTCTGTTGGCAGGTTATAAAATGTCACTTTTCATAAATTACTTTTTTCCCGTGGGAAAAAAGTGAGTACTTTTTTCCCGGATATATATCACATATACAGGGTGTTTCATAATTGAAGGTCAATATTCGAGGAGGCGATTCGTGGGCCCATTCTAAGAAGAAAGTTTCATATGAACGTATGACCTAAACCTCATAACTTTTGAGATACAGGGTGGTAAAGTTCTCAAAAATTATTATAGCCTACTACAATGAAAAGTTATGATTCCAAAGTACCAAATACGAATACGAAGTTCATAAACTATGAATTGTATTTCTGGAATTTGATCAAAAAAATAAAATCTATTTCCCTGCATTGTGATATTGTCATATTAACGATATTGCTATAATCATGTAGTGAGAAGCTTTTTATTTTTTTAAGCGAAAAACGTGCATCAGATTGAAAAAATTGTGATGATCAAATTTGCTCAGAAATGATTGGGAATTTCAGGAATGATTTCAATTTCGCGATTAATCAGTGGCGTACCATCAATGTCTGCCAAAATAGGTATGTGAAATTCCATACGAATGCCACTGGTGGGAACAAAAAAAAAATTAGTGAACTAACTGATGCCTCTTGCTACATAGTACATGTATGCCAAATTTCATAAGAATATCTGAAGTGGCATTAAAGATATTAATAAAAAACTATAAATTTTTTTAGAACATTACCACCCTGTATCTCAAAAGTTAGAACGTTTAGGTCATACGTTCATATGAAACTTTCTTCTTAGAATGGGCCTAAGAATCGCCTGCCCAAATATTGACATTCAATTATGAAACACTCTGTATATACTCTGTTAATGGCTTCTGTTGTGCTATAGTTCCGAAAAATGAGTCAATAATACCGTCTCCGAGAAAGAACTGCAAGTCCTTTTATCTTCCATTCGACTTCGCGGTTTCGTATATTACTATGTAAACAACTACTGATTTCGCAATTTCTTAAAATCAAATCACAGAATTGAACTGACAGAAGTGACATCAAATATTTGATTACTTCAAAAGAATGATAAAGATGCCTAGAAAACGCAGGTGTCCCTACTGTTAAAAACTTGAAATTTCACGTCGATTATTTTCAGATTTCGAAATAATGTAATATCTTCTCAATATTGATTCGTCCTTCCATCTGTCACAGAAAAAAATAGTGTATTATACACGGGAAAAATATTAGATTTTAGCTCACGGTTTTTTGTCTCCCTCCGCTACGCGTCGGGAGACAACACAACCTGGAGCTAAAATCTACTACTTTTTTCCCTTGTATAATAAATAACTATTTATTGATTGCAACGAGAAAAATGATTCACTCATACAAATTCCAAATCTGTAACAACTCATTCGTGGAAGTTTAATCTAACACTCCTTGTGATCATAAAGCTAATGAAGCTGAAAATCGAATGAAACGGAGCATCGCCCTTTCGAAGGGATGGTAATTTCCTCAATGAAAAGGCAAACATTATAGACATCAACCGCCCATCAGTGCAAAGGTGTCATGCTTGTAGAATACAAAATCGATAGTGCAGTAAACCTGAATGGCTAACAGGACAGGCTTTCAGTTGATATTTGAATACATTGAAGGTGTTGGATAAATCATCCACATCAATTATCTGAGGATCCTGACAATGAATCAGTCTGAGAAAATCTTCATGATCTATACCGTATCATTTCTTACATGGAATGGTTTCATCGTAAATAGCGGAAAGTTACCTATGGTGCCTATGATGGCATACTTAACATACAAAATGACTTCATAATTGATCATACCTCATCGCATTCTTTATATATTCTGAGGTTTATAGAGAAAAAAAGAACCAGAAGGAAAATGAAGTCAATGGCATACCTTTAATCCATCAGGTCTTTTGAGGTTAACCTATTCCTGAATTCAAATAAGAGCGTTATTGGCGGATTTCAAGGTCATCTGATGACGTTACGATGACATTTAGCAATGCAGAGAACATGTCTGACTTTCAAACTAAGCCAGGAGTTAGAAATTTTTTCCCCATTGCTAAACGTCATCGCAACGTCAGATTGCGATCTTGAAATTCGCCAATGGGCGTGTACACCTTAGTAGAACTTTTAACTCAAACCATGTTTATAATGATCCTTTTATACATAAATAATGATTGACGACATAATTCGATCGGGAAATTAACTGGAATGTTTTATTTTTGGACATAAATAATAGTACCTTCTGAAAACGGACCCTCTTATGGCGTAGAAACCTCATCTCGAATACCAAACCGACGGAGACTAAGGCAACTGATATATATCAATTCTTTCAACTGTGATCTCGCGCTAATTCACTCTGTCAGAAATCATGTATCATTCATCTCTGTCTGGAAAAGTCTTGTTTCAGTATTAGGGTTTTGACGTCAAATCATCGCCTCGTTTTCAGAGGTCCGAAAAATCGGGGATTTCAATAATTTTTTATAAGACGTAGGGAGCTCACAGCAAGAAACGGTTTGCGGTGGTGAGCTAGTTTGGGTGAGTTCTATCGAATTATGATTTTTTTTGTGATATAAGCCCATTATGGAAAGATTGATGAAATTTATGAAAACAGCTTTGAAAATGTTTAACGGTTATGGAACAAGAAATCTGGGGAAAACCTCAAGAAACTATTGATACTGCTTCTGCAGTGATTCTTAACTTCCTACCAGTGAGATCTAGAAATCTGTATGGTGCAGCCTTATACTCGCTTCAGAGAAGGGTGTTCCGAAAAGAAAGCGCAGAGCTATGCGGAAAATATAAAGTTGGTATAAACTCCCTAGGGAGAAAATATGTCACATTATCTCCCTAGGGAATAATACGATACTTCTACCCCTCTTTTGTTACCAGAGGAACTAACTTCTACTCTAGCCGGCGTGAAAACTTGAATGAATACATAAAAAAAGGTCTATTAGAAATAACGATAGTATGCCATCAAGGCACCTATCCCATACTGAATACTTATCAGAATTGAATTCAGGAATTATCAAACTTTTACAAGACTATTCCGGTAGCTGTTCCAGATGATGAAAAACATCGTTTATACAGAGGCCTCTCGAAAGTTATTTACAAAAACCTACCTCAAATTCTCAGACAAAATTAATTTGCTATGCAAGTAAAATTGCTCAGTTTGGACGCTATCGAAGACCAGGGCAAAAAAACACAAACATTGGTTGATAATAGTACAGGATTGCCCACTCCTATATTCAAGTTATTTTTCACCTTGAAAAAAACACAGTATATGAAATTGTAGATAGATTTATTGGTCCACTTCCAAAGAACTTATACAAGTTATGGGACAAGTCATGAAACAATTCATACAGGAATTGCAGATAAAAATATACATATACATTGGTATAAAACAAAACAAACATAATAGACCTACATTGACATTGAACAAGCCTTATCTGAAATAATCAATGAACTCTTCAATACTATATGGGACTATCGTCAATATCACAGATTTAATCTTCATTTTGAATTGTTTCAATTTTCTCAACAATTTGTACTCTTCAGGTGTTATATTATATAGCTTAAGACCGATGGTTTGGTAAGATTTTTGACAAAATAAGAAATGATTCTTGGGCATGTGGAGATGTTTCTTTATCCTAGTGTCATTATTATGAACGGTTTCATTTTTTGGAAATCGATCGAACATTTTTATGTATATACACTAATAATTCCAGAATGTATAAACCATAAATTGACAGAATATTACATTCTCTGAATAAACCTCGACAGGAAGTTTTCATGGAAGCACACTAGTAACGAACTTCATATTCATCAATGTTCAATTTCAGCAGAAGATAGTGTTATGTTTAATTCTACATTACTCTATTTTGTTTGCCCAAAGTATTTGAAGAAAAAAAAACAATATACATATATTTCTGAGAGTCACGTAATGACCTGGGTCTGTCTGATCAATACACCGAATTCTCGCATGAAACACCCCTATAGCAGCCCATAGACAAACACGAAAAAACCCTCTCACGCTATATTGACTAGAAAGTCTCAACTGTAGTAAATGTTCCGAATGAAGGTTAATATTGATCAGACTTCTTGGAACTTCGTTCGGTTAAATGAAACTACAAACTACAATAAATTTATGAAACCGCCAGCCTAGCGTCGTTGGATAACGAATACAGGCGAATACCAAATACCGCTATTTGTCCTGGCTGCCATAAAGTAGGCTGGGAACAGCCTCGCTATTCACTTGTTATGTCCTCGGAGTCCTGTTATCAGCGGATAAGTAGCATAGTTGAGCTCAGGGGTTTCTGAATGAACATTCTTTCGATAGGAATTTCGGATGATTTATTACACATTACATGTTATACCATATTATTATCCGAAATATTCTGGTTTCTGATGAGAATATTCTGAAAATAGGACCAGGTGGAACTATGACACATAATTTTTATTTCAGGGGATAACAGGGACTTGAAACTACCACCATCATCATTTAGGCAGGTTTCCGACCTTCTACGTGGGTCACCGGAATTTACAGTATTCGTTAGGCTGAAACAAGAACCTGGTAACACTGGTACAATTTTTTCCTTTGCACACGGATTAAATAGGTAAGATTATTTTCCCATCCTTCTCTGTTTTCTCTTTGATGACGCAACAAATTATTTTATTACCATTTTTTCGTGCATCCATCGGAAAATGGAAAAACAAATGAAAATCAAAACATCAAAATTTGAAATTCTTTCAATTCAATATATATATCGAAAACAAATGGAAAAATCGAAAATTATCAGAATTGCAAAGTTATCCACTGGAACATTTCCTACAAATCATTACCCATAATTTTTTCTGTAAACCCAATAGTACAGGAAATAAAGTAAAAAATATGAAAAAAAAAATTTGAACGACCCATAGGGTACCATGAAGATATATTGAAAAACAAGATTATCGATAGATGAAGCTCATCAACTTCCACTGAACCATGAAATATTTTTTCCTTTTGTTGATTGGAAGATGGAACAAAAGTGTTGAACATTTTATTCTCAGATAATTCCAAATATCTCGAAAACAACTGAAAAAATCTGAAAATGTTATGAAACCAAAATTATTCCTTTTGATAAAATCTACAAAAAATCCGAATAACATTTTTCTCTGAATTCAATAGCTCGGGAGATACGATAGAAAAACTAAAAAATTTACAAGTTTATAGATAATCACTTGCCAATAGAAAACAAAACAAAAAACAAGAGAAAGTAAAAAAAGCACACTCGACTGTCTTGATTTTTCCCATAAACTACGTACCTAGCTCACTCGACTGTCTTGATTTTTCGTTAATAAACTACGTACATAGCTCACTCGACTGTCTTGATTTCCCACAAAGAAGAAATATGTTGGCATTGTTTCAACTTTCTTTTGTTTTTGTTTTTTTAGTCCCTATTGACAGTCGAGTGAACTAGGAAAGTAGTTTGTGTGGAAAAACCAAGACAGTCGAGTGGGCTAAGTACGTAGTTTGTGGGAAAAATCTCCAGTTCTCTGAACTCTCATAGCGTCGTATACACATCTTTGGTGCCCAATGATAGTTTCAATATAAAAATATGCTCATGATATGGTGCCATGGCCTCTACTTCCATCTTACATGAGCAATGATAAAATATCATCTGCTTTTATAGCGTCTTATAAATTATCTGACCTCTATACTAATCTAATACCTAATGAAAACTACATCTATACTAATCTGATACCTTTCAAAAACTACGTACCTCACTTTTTTTGTGTTCCCTAACTACAGCTACTGTGGTCATTTGTGTTCTAATGAAGCAATAACAAAAAACAATCAAAGTAATTTTTGGATGTATGATAAATTGACATTCATCATACAGGACGTGGAAAGAAATTCTGAATTGAGAAAACCTAATCACGAATCTGCGATTGAGGTCTATCAAAATGACAAGTTTTTATCTTTCAAGTTTGAACTCCTTGATTGGGTGATAGTATTGAAAAGGACAATTATATCTGAGAATATTCCTTTTTTTCATTACAAAGCTCGTTCGCCATATTGGATCTGAATTTCAAAATTTTTGCGAAAGAATCATAATGTCCGACTCCGAAAACCCCCAGATACCACGTTATGAATCGAATATGATCATAATTAGAAAACTCGTCCGCCACATTGGATCCGCCATCCTGAATGTCTTGATTTTTACGAAGAAATCATAATCTCCGACCCCGTAACCCCCAGATACCAATTTTGAATATAAGTCGACCATAATTACAAAACTCGTCCGCCATAATGTATCCGGAGATTACCAAATTTTGAGGAAAGGATCCTAATCTCCGATCTCGAAACCAATTCTGAATCAAATCTTTCAAGCCGTTTAGGAGGAATTTAAAAACTTCACAAACGATGATATTTCCACTAAATTATTAATCATACGACATGTTGAAATACTGGTACAATCAAATGAACTGTTTATTCCATTGTATCAGTAATTTTATAGAAATCTCATCGTTTGTAAAGTTTTTACATTTGCTATCCCAGATAGCACTAGTACATCTTATGGATGTACTATGGATATCCATCATATTGTGGATGTCCATAAGATATCCGGAAAAGGCTCTGGTATATCCTATGGACGTCCATAGGATGTGACAGTGTGACCTTTCTGGATGTCTTAAATATATTTATTATGGATATCCATAAGATATCAACTATGGATATGGATAAGAGATAGTATACCCTATATATGAAAAAATCATGTAAATTGGGAAGCACTCACGTCTCACTGCGTTCGAATAATGTAGTTGTCAGTTCTTATGCATCATCAATTTTGGACGAATTCGTAGGAAACACTTCCAAATTCACTTCAAATTGATTAAATATGAGAACAGATTGACATTATTTGACTATTCCAAGGTTGGTAGAATCGATGATCTATAAATAATCATCAGTTCTACCAATCTTGGACTCTTTGAGACGTTATGCCCCCTCGCGCTTTTTTTGTAGAGCGAATTAATAATAATGGCAGATAGTGAATCATAAGTGTGCTATCTTTTGGAAGACCGACGCACAAGTGTTACTTTTGTGGATCTCCTTTCATTTATTTATCATTTCATTCATTGTATATTACTTGATTTGAAATTTCTAGGTATTGATCTTTTGTCTCTGTATCTTATGGATATCCTATGGACGTATTCAGGACGCTTGCTTCGGATATCTCAAGTACATCCGCAATCGGATATCTTATGGATATATATTTTATGTCCACGGATATCCCGCCTTGAATAGGACTTGAAATGGATATCCATAAGATATCCTGTGTTAACTGGGATGGAGTTTGGCGTCAAACACCGTAACAGGGACAGGAGAATTTTATATATTAGATAACCGATTTCATGGACGTCCATGGTACCAAATTCAAACGTCCTATGGACGTCCTGATTGTCCCGACAGGACGTCCTAAGGATATCCATGGGACATAATTGTGTTATTAGGGTGGCGACTGAACAATTCCTCGAAAGTCTGTACAATTCTACACTATTCGACAGTACAATCAGAATTACCCTACGAACAACGCATTTCCAGGTACTTGGAGCTCCAGTCCAGCGGCAGGAAGAACGAGATCCGCCTCCACTACACCGTCAAGGCTGACGCCAAGGTGCACGTGGAAACCTTCAAGCACTGCCTGGCGGACGACCGGTGGCACGACGTGGCGGTGTCAGTGAGCGGGCCGCAGGTGGAGCTTTTTGTGGACTGCCGGTCGTTGTTTAAACGGGGTCTGGCGGCCGGGGCACCAGACAGGAATTTTTCGGAGCCGACCCAGCTCTGGATCGGACAGAGGAACAGCCGGTCGTATCATTTCAAGGTGAGGAAACACCATAGAGTGAATAGACTTATAGGCATGGTGGAATGGGTGTGTACACCTTAGTAAAACTTTTAACTCAAACCATGTTTATAATGATCCATTTATACATAAATAATGATCGACGACATAATTCGATCGAAAAATTAACTGGAATGTTTCATTTTTGGACATAAATAATAGTACCTTCTGAAAACGGACCATCTTATGACGTAGAAACCTCATCTCGCCATAGTCAATAGAAAAAACACCAAACGCCCGACGGAGACTGGGGCAACTGATATATTAATTCTTTCAACTGTGATCTCGCACTAATTCACTCTGTCAGAAATCATGTATCATTCATCTCTGTCTGGAATAGTCCTGTTTCAGTATTAGGGTTCTGACGTCACATCATCGCCCCGTTTTCAGAGATCTGAAAAATCGGAGATTTCAATAATTTTTTATAAAACGTAGGGAGCTCACAGCAAGAAACGGTTTGCGGTGGTGAGCTAGTTTGGGTGAGTTCTATCGAATTATGAATAATTTTTTTTTGGGCTCTGGTACGAAACAGCGCTGGACGAAACAGCGCTGGTCAAAACAGCGCGGTCAGAACAGCGCTCGGTCAGAACCGCGCTGGACGAAACAGCGCTGGAAGAAACAGCGCTCGGTCAAAACAGCGCTGGACGAAACGGCGTTCGTCACGTCAATAACAAATATCATTCTGTCATTGATTATTGCAACCATTGTCATTACGGATGAGAAATGGAATTCCTGAAATCTCAAAAATGAAAAGATTTGGTTGTTTTCGAAGGATATTCTTATCGAAGAGATAAAATCAATGACACGTCAGAGACATGGCGTTGTGTCAAAGCTTCATGCAAAGGGAGACTGTATGTGAGTAATGGTAAGCCAAAACCAACAACGACACACAATCACGCACCGAGTCCATCCGAATCAGAAAATACCAAAATAAAAGGAGCAATGCGGAGCATGGCGAAAGAAACGAATGAAAGGCCGAGGCATATTTTCCAAGCTGCTACTTGTGGAGTTTCATCAGAGGCTTCAGTCCTTCTGCCATCGTATGATGCCGCTAGAAAAATAGTGAGTCGACAACGAAATAAGGAAAATGCTACATCATCCCATTGTAATAGTGTCCATGATGTGACAATTGCGGATGCCTACAAAGTCACAGAAAAAGGGGAACACTTCCTTCTTTGGGATTCTGGCTCAGAAGAATCGAACAGAATCATAATGTTTGGAACACGGGGAAATCTGTCAGTTATGAATGAGCATAAGCATTGGTGTATGGATGGCACTTTCAAGGTTACTCCATTTTTTTTTTATCAAGTTTTTACTATTCATGTTCTCATCGATGAAAAGGCCGTTCCCGTCATATATTGTCTTATGTGCAACAAGCAGGAAGAATCTTACCGAAGAATTTTTTCCAAGTTGACAGCCCTTGAACCAAATCTGAAACCGATCACGATCTTGGCTGATTTTGAACTTGCATCGATGAATGCAGCCAAAACAATATTTCAGGATGTGAAAATCATTGGATGTTCATTCCATCTCTCCCAGAATATGTGGAGGAAAATTCAACATTTTCAATTGACTGAATTGTACAAAGCTAATGAATATTTCAGGCTCCAAATAAAAATGATATTAGCTTTGAGTTATGTTCCGGAGAATGATATAGAGAGAGCTTTTGAGATCATAGTTGCCAATGCACCTGTGGAAATGGCTCCAATAATAGAATACTGGGAAAAAAATTATATAGGACGAAAAATTATGAAACAATCATCAAGATTTCCAATTTCGACTTGGAATATGTTTGATAGAGTAAAAAACAATTTACCCAGAACCAACAATTCATTGGAAGCTTGGCATAACTCCTTCCAAAAAACGATCGATTGTCACCATCCTTCCATTGCTAAGTTTATGGATCATTTGAAGAGGGAGCAAAACCAAGCCGAAATTTCAATCAGCAGGTTCAAATCTGGCTTCAGGCACGTTGTGAATCATAGCAATAAGTATTATCAATTGAATAAAAGGTTGAGAGTACTGGTTATGAATTACACATTTGACAACATTGAGGATTATGTGAAATCTGTTGCATTGAATATGAGTTTGTAATATAGAAATTGTTCTAACTTGGAGAATTGTCAATTAATGAGTATCTTGCTATGAAACGCCGTTTCGTCCAGCGCTGTTTTGACCGAGCGCTGTTTCTTCCAGCGCTGTTTCGTCCAGCGCGGTTCTGACCGAGCGCTGTTCTGACCGCGCTGTTTTGACCAGCGCTGTTTCGTCCAGCGCTGTTTCGTACCAGAGCCTTTTTTTTGTGATATAAGCCCATCATAATATGGTGTGCTACGACGCATCTTCGTATACGTCACTGCGAGTAAAACGATTGCTCGCAGTCTGAGCTCGCAGTTTTCAATGGGGACGTTTCCTATATCGAGGTTCTTATCTTACTGTGAAGTTTGTAAAGAATAAATATATACGTATTTTTCCATTTTTTCATAAGATCAAGTTTCACTTCAGGAAAAAATAAATAAAAGAGGAACTTATTGGCTCCTCCACCATTTCTATGACGTACTTTCTGAAAATCCACATCCACACAGAGTTAAAATACGATTCGCTGTGCCAGTAAACTTTACCGACATCATCAATATGTCTAGACTTCCGGAAATTGTTCTCTGAATGCATTACTATATCATAACAGCAATGGGACATAATAGGTTCTTCAAACTTACTTTTTCAAGTATTATGAATGAATAAATCTCTCATTGGCTGAATGAAGTTGATTACTAATAAAGATAAATTATGATATTTTGCGATAGTAGGTATCTATCAATTTTCACTATCGTTATATTACAATATGTTATTCATAACTTGTCTGTCATTTTTTTCTTTTTAATGAATTCGTTCTTTAATAAAACGGTTCTATTTTCTAGGAAACTTGCAGATTATATCTTGCAACAGCGCCACACCACTCTGACGGGCACAACAAGAGGAAGTAGCAATGGGTGTCGGCTTTATTCTGTTCTGACCGATGACAGTAAATTAGGAAGAATAGTATCATTGAATGTAGTCGATAGTGATTCATTGATTCAATGATATTTTCGTTTAGGATCGAGCTCTATTCGAGATATTTCAATGCATAAATAACAAAACCATAACCTGTCAGAATGAAGCCAACTACCCTTTGCATTCCTGTTCCGAGTGTATTTATGGTTATGTATGTTTTTGTTTACCAGTTTTACTTCTTCTTCTATTTTTTTCATTCGTTTTTCATTCGTTAGCTATTCGCTAGCTATATTCTTCACCATCAGCTATTTTCAGACTAGATTCAGAATGTACGTCACAATTTGCCGCCCCGAAAATTAGAAATTGCTTTAATTTGAAAATGAAAACGACTTGGACTTTATCGGGAGCCATTCTGTACAGCGTGGACATAAAACTGGAGAGTTCCGAACTTATTTTGCAGCTTTAATATTATTTACAAAGTGCCTTATGTTCCTCTATTATAGAATTATCATTCATTCTGTCTATTCTTATTTTTCATTCATAGAATGGTATTCATGTAATTCATTGCATTTTCCTTCCGATGTTTCATCGACAAATTTTTCCGCTCAAGTTTGATTAGAATCAAAATTATTTGTAATATTTTTTTTCGTTTTTGTCTATGTCACTAAAATATTTAATGAAATTATATGAATAGCTATATTAGCTTTGAACTTTTCTCCGGTAATGGGCCGGTAGGGTTCAATTCACCCGGGCCGATTCAAAGGTCCAATCCGCCCCTGGAGTATGGTGAATATATCCTGTTCGTTGCTTGTGGTATAGTCAAGTGTAATGGAATCTTGCGTATTTTAATTGCATTATAAATACGGTAACATATTATTTGATCAATGGCCATTATATTCGCGACATTAAATCCGCGACATTGTTTCCTCTTTACATTCTTTCTGTGGCCTTATATCCGTTTGGTGAAAGGGTATGCATCATTCTGATTTCTATCACTCCTTCCGACCTATTTGTAGACATTACAGTCTTCAGGAACAAGGATACCAAAAAAAAAACTAGCACCCGACAAGAGCGTCTAGCCGCACCATTTTCATCGGTGGCTCTCTGAATTCTGACGCGAACATGACGTCACTGACAACTGGCGAAATCCGCCAATTCCTCGATATCTGCGAGAGACAATTCGCTTCAGAGAAATATTCTTTCTAGTGAGCTAATAGTGAGTCGATTGTCACTTCGCTGCTCGTGATCAAACTATACGATATAGATAGATAAGATAGACTTTTGTTCTGTTCGTGAGTAATCTTCCGAAAAATATACTTTCTAGGAAGAAAGTCCGTTCAGGCCGAGTTGGATTGTTCAGAAACTGTGGGCTCGCTTGTTGTTTTTCATATAGGTACTTTTTTTGTTTCTTGTTATTTCTACGCATCTGCAACCGTTATCGAATGAAATGAAAATTATTTTTTTTGCAATTTGCCAGATGATTTGAAATTTTCAATAAAAAAAGTTTGTGTTGTGAAGAGGATTGAACTCTGAAAAAATATTTTCCTGTAGATTACTCGACATACTTGTATCATGTTTCGATTCATCCCGAAAACTGAAAGAGATGTAAATAAACTTAGTTCAGCCGCGTAATTTTGAGAGTTACAGTACAAAAAAAAGATGACATTGATTTTCGCTTGAAGTGTGAGTTGAAATTTTCCCAATGACGTAAAACTCCCCACTACGAGATTTGTTCTAAATCAAGTGTATCATTCCATGAACTTCTGATGAGATATTGAATTCGAAACACCTTGTATATTGAATAATGATGATTCACGTTACTAGAGTGATTATGCAAGGTAACCATAACACCGAAACATATCAAAATATTACATAGGGCTCCGATTGATCAATTTATATTCATGTGCTGTTAATAAATCTGAAATGATAAATCAATAAGGTGAATCGACTCTGTGCCAGATCTGCTATAACGTTATGGAGTGGAGAAATAAAGGAAATTTATTTATATCTATTCAAAAAACGATTCCATTTAGTATGCAAATGAGCATGATTCGACATTTTTACGCAGTCACGAATTAAATTAATATTTATACAATATTTCTCCTTAAAATATTCTTATTTCCTCTGTAGACAACCTCTTCGTGTGATATAAATCTAAATGATAATATTTTTTCGAAATCTCATTGAAATAACTGCTATCATTATTAACCGAACATGCGAATGTCTGGTATTGACCTTAACATTGCATGTTATTCCATATTGCGAATGAAATAACGAGACTACATCATCGAATCTTTCATTTCACGATATAAACAACTACCAAATTCAAGCACTTTCATGTAAAATTGCATAACTGAATAACAGTTGTAAATTGGATCTCAGAAGAAAATCTATCTCTCCATTTATCAAGATTTTCTGGGATTTTCTTTCCTCGTTTCCAGGAACGAAAATATGAGTGTACCCTCACCGGATACTCATCAATCTTCAACTTGTCTTGGATGGTATCCTCTTCACACTTCAGTTTCCAATATTGCCTATCGGTCTCTCTTGGTCAACTCTTCATTTTTGCCTTCTCCCCCAGAACCCACTTTCCATGGTGCGGAGAGAACATTTTTGTGGCCATCTATTCTGCCTATGTGGCCGAGGATTGACGAACGAAGATCTGGCAACCTAATCCAATAAGTTGTGGGAACCCGTCACGAAGGATGCATGATGGCATCTAAGTTATAAAGTGTTAATAACGGTATCTCTGGGAAACAGAGTAACATATCAGAGTAAACAGCCTTAACCCTGTGTAGAGGGCAAAACAGGGCTGGACCAACACCTTCCCAATTACTCGTAGGAGAAGGAAAACTTTTGGCCTTGTGAACTAACAAATATGTCATCTATTCTGCCAATGTGACCGAGGATTGACGAACGAGGCTCTGGCAACCTATTCCAATAAGTTGTAGGAACCCGTCACGGAGGTATAATGGCACCAGAGTTATGTGGTGTCAATAACGGGACCTCTGGAAAACAGGGTAACACCAGAGTGAACAGCCTTAGCCCTATGTAGAGGGCAAAACAGGGCTGGACCAACACCTTCCCCAATTACTCGTAGGGGAAGGAAAACTTTTGACCTTGTGGACTAACAAAGATGTCATCCAATCTGTCTATGTGGCCGAGGATCATTGAACGAGGCTCTGGCAACCTAATCCAATAAGATGTGGAACCCTTGACGAAGGTTGAGTGGTATCAAAGTTATATAGTGTCAATAACGGGACCTCTGGAAAACAGTGTAACATATCAGAGTGAACAGCCTTAGCCTTCTTCATGAACGTGATCAGATCAGGGCTCGGAAGAGTAGTCTTCAGGAAACTGAACGAACCTCTGATAGTGTGAGGTGCAGTGTTTACAGTTACTGTGAAGTGGCATTTATATAAGAACCATGGGTCGTATTTGGTAAAATTAATAGCGCCGTATTGGTAAAATACAATGGGCCAACAGGCCTTAATTTCAGCAGATACTTCGGTTAGACGAGCCTTGGAAGTGGGTGGACTGTTTAGTGGGTACACCTACATATTATGTATATGGACACTCCCACACTACCATTAAATAACTTCGTGGTGCAAAAGAAGGACAAATCAGACGTAAACGTTACCAAGTACTAAATGTTCACCTAAGAGAGCACCTGTATAATATCCTGGAAAGGATACTTGAAGTGAAAAAAAATAAATAAAAACACTTCGAAATTCCAACTCGGCATATTGGAATTCCGACTAATATCTCGGAATTTTATATCCAATATTCTGACTTGTATCTCGGAATTTGGGAATAAAATACAATATTTTGAATATTTGAAAAAAATGCATATGAAAATGTGCAATTTGTTCCTTCATAATTTGCGTCATATGTTGATGAAATACGAAAAGCAGCAGCGGAGATATAGGTGTGCCATCACACTTTTTCGGAGAAATCCTTCACACCACTGACATTCATTCAAAATACATTATTTTTTTGAAGAAAGCTATCCTTCCACTTCATTCTAAGTCGCACCGATTTCTATTTATGTATATTTTCAGTTTTTTTTTCAGGTGAATGAATTCAAATTTAACGAAGTATACTATGACCGAGTTTTATACTTCCTGATAGGTGTCTGATATTCTTTATGAATATAATGCCATTATTGTAACGTTACCTTTCACTCGATGAAATTCGGACGTTATAAATTGATCCACCCTGTATGATTCCGACTTAGTGTGTGAAGATCATGAATACAGAATTCAAAAGAATTCACGAGCTCATTGTCTGACCCTCTATAACAGGGTGATGCTCGTTCAAACTCTCAGAATCTATCCATCCTGTATATCCAATTCTAATAAGATTTATTATTTGTTCCAGGGCCTGATGCACGAGGTACGGTTGATTGGGCGGCCGTTCGGTTACCTGGAGTCTTGTCCGGACCTGGACACTCATTGTCCCACTTGTGGACAGTTTTTCCTGTTGCAGAATACCGTCCACGAGCTGACGAGACATCTTAAGGATCTTTCCGAAAGGGTATATGGACTAACATGTAATTCACATATGATGCGTTTTGTACACTAAGCTCAAATTACGATTTTACCTTCTGAATTCGGTCAAAGTAATAACTTGATGAATGCAGTTCTGGATTCATTCTCTAGATTCTTTGGGATTCCTTCTCCTTTTTATCACACTTATATAAGTTTGGTATGTATATGGTTGTAGGTTTGTATGTTTGTATGTAACGCGGAATCTACGAATGCAATTTTGTAAAATAATCTATCCCTGTTGACAGCAGGTTACAAAATGTCATTTTTGATGAATTACTTTTGTTTCACGGGGAAAAGTGAGTTCTGTTTTGCCGGTTATACAGGTGCACTATTGATGGCTTTTTTGTGCCAATTCCAGAATATAAGCCAATAATAACACCGTCTCCAAGACTGAACTGCAAGTCCTTTTCATCTTCCATTCACTCACATCGTGGTTACGTGAATTACTAAACAACCACTAATAAGTTCGCAATTTTCAAAATCAAAACACAGAATTAATTGACAGATATTCGATTACAGGTGTACTACCAGTTAAAAACTTCAATTTTCACATCGATAATTTTCTGATTTTGTTCTCATATGATATCTTCTCAATATTGAATCGTCTTTTTTCTGTCACTGAAAAAAATAGTGTAATCTTTGGAAGAAGTCCATGGTAACTCAAAGTGGAGTGGTGTAGTTCATAGATTAAAACCCGTATATACACGGGAGAATATTAGATTTCAGCGCTCGGTTTTTTGTATCACTCCATGCGCGTCGGAAGTCAACACAACCTGGAGGAATCTAATACTTTCTTGCTTGTTTCATAAATAAATATGGTCCCATTATCCTGATCAGGATATTCAGAATGAGCTTCGGGATATATGATTTTTTTTTCTCAAATAAATGATGTTCCGCCAACAGAATTTCAAAATGTTCCTTCACCAAATATTCAAATGTTCGTTTTTCCATCGAATAACTTTACAATGCTCTTTATATATCTAGACGGCAGTGTCTTACACCAAGTACCAAGTACATCCAGAGGGACTAGTGACTCTGGCCAACTTCAAAACGTTGAATTAAATATACAAAAATAGAAAATCTGAAAACTAAAAAAAACGGTCTTATAGATAGTCAAACTAAAAAGAAGTAGAAAATGAAAAAAGTGTGTTGATGAATTCACAACATAGAATATAATATACTAATTACAGAGGTGCTGAAATATTTTTTATGTTCTGTATTCAACTACACACTTTTATTATTTCATTTTAATTTTTTTTTAGTGTGGCTCCTTAATATGCTTGTAGTGAAGACAAATCAGATAATTTGCCTCGAAATATTGAAAATGTTACTTTTAGAAAAACTGAAAGAGTAATTAATCGATGATTAGTGACATATTTTTTCAAAACCACTTCAAAGAAGAGGAATATATCAGAAAGATAATATTTTTACTGAGCTTTGAACGTTTCGAGAACGAATCTACTTCCATCAAGGACAACTATATACTCAGCAATTAGTCTTTTCGTATTCTGTTCTTGATAGCACTTCTGAAAGAATTTCCCAAAGAATCTAGAGAAATTGATTTATCACCTCCTCCATTCATCTACAATCGCCAATACCTCAACGCAAATTTAAGAAAACTAAACTGGGTCTTTCCAAAATTAGATTATTTATTGAAAATCCGGCAACATCACAAAAGTCATTGATATTTCCGATGTTTCTGAACTCACCGAAAGTAAATCGATGATTTCCACTTCTGTCTGTTTTTTGTCTTCTTATTACAATTCCGACCTTAAGTCCTACAACTACGATAACCGCTGAATATTAGAGTGCTGTGGTATGATTTGCTTTTTTATTTTCATCTGAAAAATTGTGTTTTATGAAACACTCTTGAAAGTTTGATTCTATCATCTGTCAGATGATGTCCATACAGTTCACTCATTCACAGTCTAGCAAATATTTTCAGAAATAAATGCTAATTTGATTTTGAATCGTGGCCCTGTTATAAATAAGAGTGTATTGATATGTTGAAGAAGTATATCAACTTATTACTACCTACTATTCATTCAGTTACTGGGTGTCTCAATTATATACAATTTTGTGTTTCACAGTTGGTGGCAGCTGAAAGCAGAATCACCGAAGTTGAACAGTGTGATTGCCATAAGTCCTGCTACAATAACGATTCAATTTATGCTGACGGGGCCAAATGGCAGAATGGTTGCGATCTATGTTCTTGTGTGGTAAGAAGATACAGAAAGTATAATAAAATGTTCTCCAGAATCCTCAACAAAGATATAAATGAAATGAGAGATATTATGTTGCCTTGTCCTGTAAAGATCCTCGATCTCAATAAATTAAATGTTGATTAATTCATAAATTACTTAGATCTTCTCTCTCCTGTGCACAATCTCTTCACTTTTCTTCACTGTTCCTCATCTACAATTTCTTGGAAATCTCTTGCCAGTGGAAAAGCTCATGTTCTATTCTGATTGATTGATTGTCTTTATTACCCCAAGAAACATTTTTGTTTATAATAGGTATACATGGATATAAAGAAGAAATAATAATAACATGTTGACTAATGAATTCCACTCAGTAGAAACAAATACATATTTTTCTTAAGATGAAAGTTATAACATTTCATTTGTGAGTAATTATGTCATGCCACATATTTTGCGATCAAATTGTCCTGGGCAGGTATTTTCCAAGATTCGTTTGGTGATGAATTGTTTAAAATCATTCCATTGTGAAATACAGATTGTTTGCCAATGTTTGACTTGAATGTATTCACTATCCAGTAATTCAGTTGTCTAGTTTCATACCTATGGACTGTATTGACTTCATTAAAAGTTTAATATGATATTTTCAATTTTTTCATGACAAAACAACATATTTTGAGTTCATATAATGAAAAAAGGTTCAGAAAATGTCTAGGTTTTTGTATAAATTTACCATTGGTTCTAGAAAATGAAGTGGGTCCTGATATTCTTTCTTGAATCGATTTCACGAAAGTTTTCGTGAATTTTTTGCTTTATTTCTGAGAGTATCTCTCAATATGCGAAACCGTTATTACTCAAAATAAGAATGAAGAAGTGATGTAGAAATATGATATTATGGCAATTTCGTTTGTGATTTGTTTCGAATTACTATAGGGATTTTAGTCAAACCTTTGTAACTGCCGATTCATAAAAAAATATCGACTCGAATAAATTTTTCTCCGCCTATTTAGTATTGATTCAACTAAACGGTCCACTCATTTTCTAGCATGGGGACGTGAAGTGCCATCCTGTGAAATGTCCTGAGCCGACTTGCAAACATCCTGTAGTCAAACAAGGAGAATGTTGCCAGTCCTGTCTAAGTACGTATACAAACAAAAACTGACAATTGAACGCCGCTTTTTCCTCTCTTTGGGGGTAAAATAAGCTGCTCTTAGCTTGAACATAGTGCCATGGTATCGATTACTTTTTCCCAGGTGTATAGTATTGGGGTTGATGTGCCTACAAATATCATTAGTTCTTCTTGAATAATGAAATAGCGCCCGTGTAGAGTGCGAGTGGTTAATGTATACTAACCCATTTTTTGGCCTCTTTGCAGAAAACTGTTTTTTTCTCAACCAATTCTTCGATCATGGGGAGGTGGTGACTTTCAAGAAGTGTGTGGATTGCCGGTGCGATGATGGAGTCATGATATGCGATAAAGTTAACCCAGTGACTGATTGCCCCAAACTGAATTGCCCTCCAGAGAAGCAATTCAGTGTACCTGATCATTGCTGCAAATTCTGTCCAGGTACCTACTTCTAACAAAAATCATCTGCTAATCCGCTTTATTCTCTACAATCGTCCGACAATTTGGATTTAATGATTTCCTCAACATACCGGCTCTGTATTGATCAACTAGGTGGCGCAAAAGTCAAAGTTATTGTATCACCAATTGAAAAGTTTGACAGTTTGGAAATATTCATTATTGGAACCTTCGGATGTGAGTGGAATCTGTTGTCGAAAATGTTGTGCCATTCAAATGACTACCTTCAACGGTGATGCAATGACGAGCTTATTCAACATGTTGGCCTTGAGAACTTCCAGAGATTGATGAAATAAACCTCTGGTGTACGCACTTCAATCCTTTCCTGTTTTACAATTCCTTGATTTTCGCCTACTTCGATGAACATAACATGGCGTGGGTAAATGTCGCTAAATTTAGACGTGCCGTACCAAAATTACAGGCATCAATGTGACAATTGTGACCGAATTGTGACCAATGAAGATAGGGAATACATTTTTCCGATTTAGCCGCATCAAGGTTGGTAGAACTGATGTTGATCATAAGTTCTAAGAATCACGCCATCTAACATTCGATATGTGAACCCCACGTCATCGTCTGAAATTCAATTGTTTATATCAAGAACCCGTCTGACGAAACAAATGAAGAGTGAGCGCACCAGAGGTTTATTTCATCAATTTCCAGAGTATGTGGTCGATCCACGGTCACAATCAAATCATTTTGATGATGAAATTCTGCAGTTTCTGTACGAAAGGGGCATGACTTTTGACGCCACCTAGAATTCACTGTTACTATAGTGTATAAATATCGAATGTTTTGAGTTGAAAAATACTTCTCACTTGGTTTATTTTGATTTGTTTTGTTAGGTACACTTCGAATAATTCACAACTGTCAATGTTTACTCGAACATTCCATTGAATCTATTTCAAAATGTCATTATGTATCCATCAAATTCCAATTTCATTCATCATCAACAGGACATAATAAATAACTATTCATCCATCCTTATATTCTGAAAGCGATTGTTTCATGTTCATCATTTTCGACTATTGAAGACCACCTCGAATTTTTCATCGAAGTGGTTAAGAAAGGGTCTTCAACATGCTGTCAACATGATCATTCCTTCAATAATATATTGATGAAATGAAACAATTGTTTATTCAATGTTTCCTAATAATTATTCTTCATGGTCATCGTATGCTTACTAACCTATGTCTAACAACAGCATTCTTCCATTTTCATCCTAACAGGTGTTGACTACTGCGCTAAAGGGCATAACTGTCATGCGAATGCAACTTGCCTTAACCTACAAACTACTTATGCTTGTCAGTGCGACTTGGGTTTTCAAGGAGACGGCAGAATTTGTACTGGTATGATTTTTGCTTACTAACAATAAACATTATTCATGTATACAATATGTGGAAGCCACCAAAATATCATAGTCAGTGGAAGATAGATCAGGCAGTCTGAAAATACGGTGTAGTATACTTATACCAGTAGGTCTTGAAGCATGGGAGACACTTCCACTCATTTCTCCCCACGTGACTCAACCAATCAATAATCGCCATTCAGTTCAAGATATTAATAGTTATTTATTATAAGGAAAAAGGAAAAAAAGTAGTAGATTTTAAAATGGGCTGAAATCTAATATTTTTCCCGTGTATAACACACTATTTTTTTTCTGTGACAGAAGAAACGATGAATCAATATTGAGAAGATATTACATTATTCTGAAATCTGACAATTATCGACGTGAAATTTTAAGTTTTTAACAGTATAGGGACACCTGCCCTAACAACACCAGTACATCCTAGGGACTTCCCATGGACGTCCCTGATTTTATACTAGGACATCCCAGGGATGTCCTTTGTCGGGACAACGTACATACTAGGGATGTCCCAGGGACATCCGCTGGCCGCTAAAAAATGCATCCAAGGGATGTCCTTCTGGTACGTCCATGGGATGTACCAAGTATGATGAAAGGATATCCCTAGGACGTCCCAAGGATATCTCAGGGACATCCTTTCGACAAAAGAAAAAAGTTGCAGGTCGAGTAGGGATTGAACCCGGGACCTTTGGCTTATCATGCACGCACCTTGCTCCATTGGCTATCATGCCTCCTGAAGATTTATATACCAAACAGATTTATAAACAGGACTTAACTACAAAAACCTGAATAAATACAACTTTATTAGGAATCGGGTATAATTATTATCATTCTTGGGTGTTTAAAAATGAGGGGCATTATGCATGTACGATTTCTGTCTGCGAAAAATGGTAATTTCTTAAGAAGTTCTGAGACTTCATTCTTTATTTCCATTCGGGATGTCCACTGGACAACTACTGCAGGACATCCCCTGGATGTCCCAATCATGTCCTTGTACCGCGGGACAAAAAAGGGACGTACCTAGGACATCCCTATGTTGTTAGGGTGCGTTGTAGGCATCTTTATCATTCTTTTGAAGTAATCAAATATCTGATGTCACTTCTGTCAGTCTAATTCTGTAATTAGATATCAAAAAATTGCGAATTTAGTGGTTGTTCAGTAATATACATAACCGCGAAGTCGAATGGAAGATGAAAGGACTTGCAGTTCTTTCTCGGAGACGGTATTATTGACTCATTTTTCGGAACTATAGCACAACAAAAGCCATCACGGGAAAAAAGTAATGTATGAAAAGTGACATTTTATAACCTGCCAACAGAGATGAAATGCCAAACTTTTTTTCCGTCACAGAAAAAAATTTATAATTTTACATTTTCAGATTCCATTTCCAAGTTCTGATTTTGATGTGCTGCAGTTTTTATCACAAAAAAAGAGGACCAAAATGGAACAGTTCCGCCAAAACTATATTAAATGAAGGATAAGCAGATAAGGGTTACATTCGAGCACTGAGGCAATGTTGAAAATGTTCTTTCATTTCATATTATTGTATTGAAGTATATAGTTTTGATGGAGCTGACCTATGGTTTTTCGCTCTGATGTCCTATTGTCTTCACTTCGAAATAGTTCGCCTAAGATAGCTTCATTTCGAAGTTTGAGAAGAAGGCATATTCAAAAATAAGAATTATATTTTGAAGCTACTAGATATTTTCAGCTTGCCGGGTCTCTCAATGACAATTCCAAGACGTATACGAAAATTGTCATCTACGATATAAGTACCCATCAGAATGGAGAGTGTTCCTCGATAGTATACGCTGCTCGTTCCTCCTTTCGAGCCAGTAAGACCACGTCATCACGGTAACCACGAATCTGAACAGAACAACATCCTGTCACCTGATAGTATAATATGGAGATGACAGTTTCATATAGGTCGTGGAATTGCCTCAATGAATACAATGTTTGCTCACAATTCTATCGAAAAGTCTGTCAGTCTCTGACAGAATTACTATCTAAAGTATTACGAGCACTCATGGTATTACCTCTGATCATCCCTAACAACAGAACATAAAATATGCTTCGTTTCCAAAGCTTCAAAACTACCTTTCTATGATAATACTTCCACTAGCCTCTTGAATAATGCCTCATTTCCACATTTGTCTACTTGTCTTTCTTTTTCAAACCGATATTCTTCATCATGTTCGTTGAAACTTTTTAGATGTAGACGAATGCCAGCAAGAAGGCGGTCTCGAAGGTCACCACTGTCACCAGAATACCAAGTGTGTGAACACACCTGGATCCTATATATGTGAATGTTTGCCTGGCTACAGGCGAATAGACAAGTTCAACTGCGCCGAATTAGACGAGTGTAGTAGTGGCGAACACAACTGTGATGTGAATGCCGAGTGTATAAACACCAAAGGGAGTTATCATTGCGTGTGCAAGGAAGGCTACAGTGGAGATGGTTACTCATGTCAACGTAAGTCCAACGTCATTCATAAGAGCTTTTGATTGCCGACCGGTTGCGACTACTTCAGGGGCCCGATTCTCGAATCCGTTGGAATTTGTTCCCATGGAAAAAACTCGATATTTCCCATGGAAATTTGCGATGATGTATTCTTGAACTAGTATATAGTAGTATATATACTAGATGAAATAAATCATCTAGAGGCTTTACGAAATTTTGAAGTGGCTGAAATCCTAGCTAGAAGGCCAAGAAGAAAGGTTTTTGCCTAGAAGGGACCCATTTGAGTGTTAGTCTGCTGCACAATTTATTGAAGTTTTTCGTTTGTCCAGAGACATTACGAGAGAATTGATAGGTACTTTAGAATCCTTATAAGTCTTTTCTGCTCTTTGCTAATACTACCACCTTGTAGTTTTTTAATATTGTTCCACCAGTAACCAACATAAATTGCACTCATTTTATTGGTGAATTCATGTAAGCTCAAGAATTCTATCTGCGACATACGGCACTTTTTCAATCTCCTGGGGAAAATTATTCCATCTGGTTCAAGAATATGTGTCATGACAAACTATCATTTCCTATGAGAACTGAAAGCATTGGATCATTCTCCTATAGGATCGAATTCCGACAGATTTGATCACACTTCGGCCGCAGGGTTTTTGATTCTTGACCGCATTAATCAAACCCCAAATGGTAACGTGTTTCATTGAAGTCCAAGAACGACCGATCCAGGACCAAATCTCCCAGCCTTTTTGATGGTTGATGCGGTTCAGGGATATGAATTAGAACTTCAAATAACACAAAACTGTGGCAAGGGTGCCTACAGTCTTGAGAATTACTGACTCGAACTTTTTTTGACAAAAATATCATTAGGAACATATCTCACTGGACGATTCACTTGAATCAATTATTATTCCTGATGGTATACAGTTCAACATAACAGTTCCTTCCAAAAAGTCTGTCTTGAGGAATCTATATAATGACTGATGTGTATCATAAGATAGATGATGCCTTATATATCTGATTTTTACGATTTCAGGTCATAAGGTGTTATTTTTGATATATTTCCGATTGATCGCGAAGTTTGTCCTCATCAAGGTTTTTGCATACAAGCGATCTGCCGAAATCATTCGAATTTGCCATTGTGATCAGTCACGTATGACACTAACGGCAGGTCGACGACCAATAACTCTTCATATTATTCTACCTCCGATACAACGAATCAAAATTGGACAGAAAAACTTCGTTTACAGATTGTGGGAACTTGCTGTGCTCGTTTCATATCGTCACGTAACTAGCTTTCACCTACTACCAATATGTAATGTGAAACATTACGACACTGATTTTAGTATCGTAATGACATACTTACTTCACCGCACTAGTGCGGTAAAGTGAAAAAAATATAATTACAAATTTTAATTTTACTCAAAAAATGAAATAATAACCAATTTATCATGAATATTGCAGGTACTAAAGTTTCAAAAGCTGCATTCGCTGCAATTTCTTTATCGAAATCTAAACTTATATCTGATCCGAATTCATGCCGCTGAATTTTTTTCCAATTGAAATTGATGCGTCAAAGTTGACAGTTCGCCGAATGAGTGACAACCGAGAACACAATAGATTCACGACAACCATACGCCCAACCCTTATTGCAACGCTTATTGCTTGTAACATATTCCTAATGAATGTCAGTTCAAGGAATATTGAATATTTTTGATTGAATAGTTAGCTTTTTGGTAGTAGGTAAAATATGGTACTATATTCGTATCGTAAACTCATATTACGATAATCGATAGGTTATCATCAAATTTCCCATTTCGTATCGTGATATACAGGGTGTTTCGAAATTCGACCGACAACGCTTGACAGGTGATAGCCCTCGTGATATCATAATCACTGAGATAGGGACATATGGTCGTCAAGTGTTCAGTTCTCGAGATACAGGGCGTTGAAGTTAAGAAATTGAAATAGTTTTTTCGCAATATCTCAAGAAAAATTGAATATAATGCATTCGAATTCGGTATATGGTTTCATCTCTCAATGGTTGATTTTTTTACCAGAAAGACATTCCGAGAATTTTATCCAGAGGTGCACCACAGAGGGTTGTGATAACTTTTCCTCCCATATTTTCTACGCCACTGATGAAATTTTAGTTATTTCCTATTTCTCAAATTGATTGTTCAATTATGTTGAAAAAATGCATCACCTTCAACCTTTAACCTATAATGAACAGTTATCGAGATATTTGACCCAAAATAGAAGTTTGCATAGTAATTTTTCATCATCCTCAGTAGTAGAAAATTAGGAAAATTGTTGTTTTCTCTTTATGCGTGGAATAACTATTTTTCTTCAGCTATAGAATCAGATCTGAATAGTATATAATCTACTCAACACCAGAAAAATATTTTTGCAATTTTCTACTACTGAAAATGATGAAATATTACTATGCAATCTTTTATTTTGGGTCGAATATCTCGAAAACTGTTCCTTTCAGGTCAGTTGGAGGTAATGCATTTTCTGAACAAAATTGAGCAATGAATTCGAAGAAGTGGAAATAATCGAAATTTATTCAGTGGCGTAGAAAACATGGGAGGAAAAATTTCCACAACCCCCTGTAGGGCACCACTGGATAAAATGTCCGGAATGGCTCCCTGGTCAAAAAATGACCCATTTATAGATGAAACCATATACCGAAGTTGAGTGCATTATATTCAATCATTCATGAGATATTGCAAAACAACTATTTTTATTTTTTAACTTTAACGCCCTGTATCTCGAGAACTGAATACTTGAAGACCGTATGTCCCTATCTCAGTGATTATGAAATCACGAGGGCTATCACCTGTCAAACGTTGTCGGTCGAATTTCGAAACACCCTGTATATGAGTCTTTACGATACTCGTATCGTCAATACCTAATCCCTATTGCTCTCAATTCTATCTTCTTCTTTTTTTTATAATGTATAATGTCAAGCGGTTCACTGTGAAAATATATGCACACTCTCATTAGCTTTGACAAATATCGAATCTGCAGAGGAAATGGAAGTAGTTGTAGAAAATTTAAGAACCTAGTTGCTATGTAGTTACGCACTTGTAGAGTGTGTTTCACAAAAATCACATGTAAATATACTTACTATAATACATTTATTTTATGTGTTTTTAGCTGTGTGTAATCAAAAATGTCTCAACGGTGGCGCTTGTAGTAGCCCAGGTAGATGCGCATGCGCCAATGGCTACACAGGAAATAGCTGTGAACTCGATTTGGACGAGTGCGCAACTAACTCCCATAGATGTACAAATTCTTCTGAATGTGTAAATATGATTGGATGGTATTATTGCCAATGTAAAGAAGGATTCAATAACTCTTATATAGACAATAATTTAGGAACTAAATGTTTAGGTGAGTTTCCATGAGAAATAAAAATCATAATACACTCTTATTACTGCATGGTTTGTTTTTCTGTTTTGATCAACTGTTTTTCTGATATTTCAGATATTAATGAGTGTAACAGTGACCTTCACACTTGCCACCCTTCTGCTCAATGTATAAATACCAATGGAGGGTTTCGATGTGAATGTCCACCTACCAGACCCAGCTGCAGGTTGAGTTGCATGTTCGAAGACAAAGAAGTCCTCCATGGAGTGTCTGTGCTCCCGAAGAACGATCCCTGCAAATCTTGCACCTGTGATAAGGGCGTCATGACATGCGCAAAACCAAAGTAAGATTTCATCAATAAGGGCTAACATCTTCAGACACCATTTGGCACTACTAAAACGTGAGGTCAATGTCGAAGTCAAAAATCCGAAAATTCTGCTGGATAGTCCTAAAGGCTGTGGCCTGTTTTTTCGAAAATATTCGGAAAAAAGATGCCAAATGACATGAATTGAATGAGTATACTTATCAGCTCTACAAACTCTGACTTCACGTTTCAGTGGCGCTGTAAAAACATATTTCAAAGTGAATATGAGCATCAGACAATTTTTGTATGGATTCATTGTGGAATGGTTGTTTTTCAATCCATATTTCAGAAACCGAAAGAAACAATCTGAGACGATTTTGATGAGTTATTGATCATCAGTTAAAGAAAAATATCGATTTTGACATGAGTTCAATCGATCCATATTGTTCTCAATATGCTTTACATCACTGCCCCTACCAGGTATCACTATTTTTAGTCATTGTCTAATCTTGTCTTGTAAAGGAAATTTAATCGTTAAGTATTTTGATTGCAGTTGATCACCCCTGTTTGAACTGATAGATCACTAACTCCCTATGTGATTCAATGACAAGATGGTAAAAAATACCTGTTAATATATCTGTTTATACTATTATTCACCTGTTTGAAGCTGGTATTTATCTGTTAATCTGCCTGTTTGACAAATTCGATTTATTCTTCGCCTGATGATAATGTTGCTCCATTGACATTCTGTGGATATTGTGAGTCCAAAGAGAGTTATAGGGTTGTGGTCAGGGTCCAAACTCCAACGTGAGCTAGAACCAACAAAATCTACCCACGGGAATCAGTAAAATATGAGTTGTATCTTTGAGTATTCACACTAGTGTATATAATCAAGGGTTGTATGCAAAGCTGGAGCTCAATACTTCTGGAACTTCTGAGAAGTTAACAAAAATTACAATGAATAGGTTCGATCTTTTGTTCTTTCATCAACACTTTGCATGCCAGGATCTCTCAGAATTTCTTTTACACACGAGTCAAGTGTGAGAAAGAATGGAATTTATTCATAAGGAAATGAAAACAAACAACGATGAACATTCTTGCTTCCGTAGCACACTCCTATATGAGATCCAGAATATTCACAAAAGACATATTATGGTTGTCTCCTTTAGATATATTTGTATAGTTCACTTATATTGACATGGTTCTGAAATTGAAATTCGAAGGTTTGATCCCCGCCTCACCTTCAGCTTTTCATTCGAAAAACTAGTCACTGTCGTTCTAGATGACGACCTAGATCGCAAGTTAGTAGGCAAGAGCTATATATTGTAGCTCATCGCGTACTAGGTCGCCTACTAGGTTTTCATTTAAATCGACAATGCTCTAAATAGTAATATTCTTTCAATCTGAACTAACTGATATATATGAAACAATGAAACTATACAGGGTGTTTCTCAAGTACGTGTAGAAAATTCAGGAGCTTGTTGCTGACGTCAAAATAAGAAGAAAAGTTCGTATAAATATATGCCCGAAAGTTCTTCGTTTCTGAGATACAGAGTGTCAAATTTGAATTCTTATTTTTGTTTTTTGTCAATAAATTTCAGAATAATTGTAATATTCGAATGAAGTTTGGTATCTAGGAGTATTTTTCAATGACACTATCAAATTTGATGTTGGTTTGTCTCTTTCGTGGATGTGGTGCCACCTACATGTCATTTGAGTCTTTTAAAGAAAAATAGTTTTCTAGAATACTTTTGTGTGAAAAATACAGGGTGATTCACATAAGAACCGACATAGAGCAGGGGCATGTAGGGGGTCCCAAAATATGGCAATTTAACGCAACTTACCTCTATACCAAGTTGCTTCCCTAAGGAGTTATAGGCTTTGAAAGTGAAGTTATAAATTTTGAAAAAAATCAATATCTCCGTTATTCTTGAACTTGAAGCAACCAAATTTAGTACACTTTGTGGATGTATTTAGGGCGTTACTTGACAGTAACTAGAGTTTAATTGAAATTTGTAAAGGGGGTATACCGGGTGGCGCACCATTAATATTCAACAGAATTTTGTTAACCCCCTGATGGATTTTGAAAATCTTTGCTTCGTTTTGTGGGCAATTGAATTCTAAAACTTTTCGTAGACTAGTAATTTCTCGAAAAACCTCATCATTTTCATCAAAAACTCTGATAACTGAAAACGCGTGCTCTAGGTGTGTTATTTAAAATCATCGAAAATTCAAAAGTTGACTATAAAAATAAACGTCAAACTTGACAATGAAGCAAGTAAGTTCTTCAATTGAGTAATTTATCGATAAACAATTGTTTGTTCTGGTTGTTGTTTAAGTTTTTTGTGTTTATTTTGGTTAGTTGTTAATCCCAGTTTTTCACATTTCAGTATCTGTACTTACTTTACGTATTTTGTTACGTATCTAAATGATAATTTGCCAGCCAATTTCTACTGATCACAATTAATGACCTACTTTCTTGTTGTACGTTTATTTCCATAGCCAACTTTTGAATTTTCGATGATTTTAAATAACACACCTAGAGCGCGCGTTTTCAGTTATTCGAGTTTTTGATGAAAATGATGAGGTTTTTTGAAAAATTACTGGAGTAAGAAAAGTTTTAGAATTGAGTTGCCCACACAACGAAGCAAAGATTTTTAAAATCCATCAAGGGTTAACAAAATTCTGTTGAATATTAATGGTGCGCCACCCGGTATACCCCCTCTACAAATTTCAATTGAACTCTAGTTACTGTCGAGTAACGCCCTAAATACATCCACAAAGTGTACCAAATTTGGTTGCTTTAAGTTCAAGAATAACGGAGATATTGATTTTTTTCAAAATTTATAACTCCTTAGGGAAGCAACTTGGTATAGAGGTAAGTTGCGTTAAATTGCCATATTTTGGGACCCCCTACATGCCCCTGCTCTATGTCGGTTCTTATGTGAATCACGACACCCTGTATATTCCTGGTAGAGGTCGCTGTTTCTTAACACCTTGTACACTGGGAAGATCACAAAGGATCTAAAGACCACAGGCATGAAATAATTTCAAAAACTATCAAAAAAAGATTCAAATTCGCTGAAAACGATCATGAATCCTATTTTTTCAATGCTTAAATTCGTTTGTTGTTCACCTTCGGAGCCGTTCTAAAATCCGACACCAAAAGCCACACGCTTTGTGATTCTCAAACAACAATGTCGACCGCTTACCAACAATGTGCCAATTTCAGATGCGATTGTAGCCTACCAGGTAGCGGGGAGAATCCTTGTTGTCCCCAGTGCAACACCAAGCACGCTTGCAGACACCAAGAGCTGCCCGAGGTGATCCTGAAACACGGAGAGCAGTGGTCCTACCAGTGTCAGAACTGCGAGTGCTTGTACGGAGAGATAGACTGCTGGAACATGAAATGTCCTCCCCTGCTTTGCGACAACCCAGTTCTCAACCCCGAGGATTGCTGTCCCCACTGCGAGAACCCTTGCTCGATGGGCACGGGCAACGCCTCTTCTCCGGGACAGCCTTGTCCGTTCGCGGGGAAAATTTACGAATCCGGGGCGCATATCATCGATCCCAAAGATCCCTGTACGGCCTGCGACTGTAAGGTTGGTGGTTAATTTCGCTAATCGAAGACATATAGTCTATGTGTTAACCTTAAATGACTGGTCTGTTTGTCTTGTACTAATCAACTGGAAGGTATACAGTTATACTGATGACTTGCTTGGTTGCGTTAGATGCAGGAAATATAGTGCCTTTGTGTTGCCCCCATTCCTCATAACATACATTTCGATACTGGATCAATATTTACATTTTCCAAGGACAGGACCACATTCGAATAAACGGCTGAATCGGCTTGAACAGGCAATACAATGTAAATCATTTTAATCAATTATTTCAGTGGACCTGGGATGGTCACTCTTAATAATATCCATTAAGAAACCACGAATATCAGTAACATCGAAATGAATTGAATCCAATCTAATGTATTATACACCCACTGGCAAAAAAATCTTGATGTCAGATTCTAGATATAACGTTCGAAATACACATGATATATTCGACATTGTTACGTGGTTATGGAAAGTAACCATTGTTACTTTGGAAATAACTTCAGCAAACATATTTTTCATGTTCTTTGCCCAGTGGGTTGTATCTTTCCTTAAGAAGAAGTTATCGACATGAATCAAGAACCATTGTGTTAAGGAGGGATGAAAATGGATCACACTTCAATTCGAAACATGGAGTAAAATTTTGACGTGAATCAAAAACCAAGAAGGGATCACTTCAATCCAAAACATGATGAAGCAAATTTTAATCACCCACCTTTGCCACAGATCGTTAAGAAGTTATGGGTGAAAGAGTAAGTTTTTTTCAAGAATTGGAGATCAAGCTAACACTCTGAAACATAAAACTACGATCTGGTCGAAATTTCATCGATCAATTTGTCTGAATTTTTTGCTGGCCGTTTTTTTTGTGCTGGTGAGTGTAGTAGGTATGCAAAATGGCATTAACTATAAACCAAAATCTATCTTGAGCTAATTTCCACGAGACAAAAATGAGAGAAAATTATCATGTCAACATAGGTCCGGAAATTGTTCTTCAGGGGAAGAATAAAGTCTTCCAAAGATAGACCGCTGAGCTTTTCCATCAATTAAACATACAGTTCATTCAATGAACAGGTTGTGGTGGACATGGAAGATTACAGAATATTTGAGCAGTGCAGAAGACGACGTAGAATGTTCCTTTTTTTGAATTACCTTCAAAATGTCACGTCACAGCAGAAAAGTCTTTAAAATTTTTTCAGTAGGTTTTCTTCCTATCTTTCATAGTTTTCGAAATATTCGCTAGCGAATCATGTAACCTTCAGTCGCAAAGGATTGAATTACCTTCAAAATGTTATGTCACCTATGTATTTTTTTATATACTTATACACATAGAAGTCGCTAAGGATTCAATTATAACCTTCAAAATATTATGTCACTTGTATTTTTTATATATTTATATACATGTGATATAACATTTTGAAGGTGACTGCATCCTTTGCGACGTCTTTGTCGAAAACTTTGGTGAAAAACTAAAGGTTGAACCGTCAAAATACGCTAGATGAAGAAGCGATTTTCAAACTATGAAAGATAGGAAAAAACCTACTGAAACAATTTTGTAGACAATCTTATCAGTCACAATTCTGAATGGATTGACTCTTTTGCTGTGACGTTTGTGTGGTATGAACCATACAAAAAAAATGGACTTTCTACGTCACATCCTGCACTCCTGAATTTTTTCTTTCTATCTGCTCCAAAACCCATCCCTAGCATCAAAAATTCGGTCCTTGTCCATATGTTCTCTACACCCACTTATTGGGCATTCATTGATCGAATAGTAATGATTCATAATGATACTTAGGAACTAATACCATAGACCCTGAAGACCTGTCGATTCAATCGTACGTTTTCTGTGTTCCTGTCCTATGAGAAGCATGGCTGGCCTATACGCATAGAGCTTAGGCTGGCTTCCTAGTTCCAACTAAGCTAGGCATTACTAACAATTAACACTGGATTCCCTTACAGGTGCCGTACTGCGCAGAACTGGTGAGCAATGTCGCGTGTTGTGTGCATCGGTAATCACTCTCACACTCCTAATACACTTAACACTCAAACTCGAAAGTTTGAGCCGCCTAACCTAACGACATCGTCATTGCATTAACGATTAAAATGCTCTAACCTAGAGTGCCATGAACATCTCATTTCACGTCCTTTAAATAGTCAGGACTGATGTTTATAATTCCTCTGGTGTGCCCACTCTTCAATTGTTTCGTCAGAATAGCTCTCGATATGAACAATTGAATGCCAATTCGGAACGTGGGGTTCTCTTATTTGATGATAGATGGCGTGAACGATAGACAATTTCTTGAAAAATTTCAAAATGCGTTTCGATTCTTATTATGAAGTTGAACTAGACTTTCAAAGATATGTTTTTGTTCTTTCGGGACATGAAGAGTCCCGTTTGATGATGCACGAATTCATTAATTCACTGATGAGAAGCATCTAGAGACAGGACGCAAAAGAGACAGGGTGCAACAAATTCGAGCGGAAACATCTTGATCTTGACTGAATCTTGACGTATCTGTCACGTGTCTCATGTTTCCAGCATATTCAAGATTTTGTTCAAATTTCAAATAGAAATATTATAAATTAAGAGCATTACTAGTTTATTAAGCGGGTATTGATATAAGTTGAGTGAGTGTATTGTGCTTTCATCATGGACTGACTGCTGCAATGTGTGAGGATTATTCGAAAATTCGAACATTCGTTTTATTTTATATACCAAAAGTGAGTAAATAAACGAATATCACAGGGTTTTCTTGATTCAGGACTTCGTGTCGTTCATGAATTCACCATTGAAAGTCAAAAATATGACGCATCGTTTCCATTCAGACAATGACAAAAAATTGTGAAAATGAAATTGTGAACTCAAATGAATGTGTCATGATGTCTGTGAATTTGATTTGAAACTTAAGAAATTTAGCAAGATTCTCCCACGCCTTGCTATTTTTACAAAGTAGGCGATATCGAGAGATTTCGAAACTCTTTTTAATCGGAAGTGATAACAAAATTTTACCTTCTATACATCTATGTCAGGACACGCTTATTGTCACCACTGACATTTCCGAATTGTGATCATTCTCAAATTTGAAAGGTCAGTTCTGAAAATTGACTACTATGTCTTGTTCGGTAACGATGAATTGCAAAAACTCTAAGAATTTATTTGAGTTGTCAATAGACGAGAAAACATTTCAAGTGTTTGTTAAAGCTCCAAATTCCAATATCCATATTTCATGGAAATACATCCAATGATATAATTATATCGATATTAATATTGATATAACTACAAAAGGAGCATTATGTGCCTTCGGTGTTATAAGACACTGTTAGGGTGTCAGATAATAATATTTCTCCACTCGTAATGGAGGGGTACTAGAAAAATGGCATTTCATCTCTTATAAAACATATCTGTGTCTCATATTTTTTGTTCAGCTGTCTAACAACATGACAAGCGTGTCCTCACCCTTTTGGGAGCGTAAAATGAGATGTTCGGGGCACTCTACTCTAACCATGCTCTAACTCGATCCCAAAACCATATGGTCCATATTATCTATTACCAGATTGGCGAAACAAATTTGAATATTTTGTTACTAGTAAGGAGAATGAAACATCATTGTTCTTGAAAGAACAAGACAGAGGTTCACAAGAATTTGTGACCTGCTGTTTCCTTAATTTATCTAGTACACTGTTTACCACTGACCAAACCGATTTTTTAAATTCCTCGACACGTGTTTCGATTACTATGTTAGCCAGCGTAGCCTCGTGGTGGAAGTTTCAGTTTCTATCCACGTTGGATTGCCGGTTGGTGGCACCACGACCGCAATTTTTTTCTGATGGCCTAAGAAAGTGTTTGGGATCACACGTTAAAAGGTAAGACCCCGTCATTCCTTGCTCGTACAAGTCTCTTGAAGACTTTTGAGGGTTGCTCATGACGGGACAACTGAATGATGGATAATGACAATTTTGGAATAACTACAATCTTCCATCAAAATAAATATCCTATTCTGGTGTGCTACTTATATACTATAGGTGTATGTCCACCTAATAATCGTGGAAGACACTAACCACCAAGTTAATGTTTGCCTCAATCTTATTATGTCCCTAAACTATACAGAGGGCTATACGGAACAGGTCCTTCATCCTTATCCATCACTCTATTACTATTCTTGGATATCTCTAGGCTTCCAAATGCATCTACTTTCCTAACATTAATAACTTACGTTACTAATTCTTATTAATATGTGTGTTATGATTGTGATTAAACATGGCTACACACAATTTATCTAACCTACCATATTAAGGCCTAACCAGGCGACCCATAAACACACGGTCCAAAGAACACCTAGCATATTTGAAGTATGGTAGGTTAGATATAAATCGTGCGTAGTTCAACACATCATTAATCACAATCTGTATCGTTTAGTGACATAAGATAAAGGTTAACATAACGGGTCTTCAACAATGATTGAAAACCAACAATGCAACCAAGAGTACATTCGTATCTTTTGAACGTGGGTGGAAACGAGACACCGTATCAGAAATGGTCACGTGGCACTCAATCATTGTTGAGGACCCAGTATAAGTAGCACACTAGAACAGGATATTGAGTTTTAATCTTCTCCTGAAGATGCTAACATAGTTTAGCGAAACACGTGTCGAGGCTTTTGAAAAAATGGTTCAGTTAGTAGTAAGACAGTGTGGTGGATTAAGATTTCAGACTTGGATATATTAATTTATCTATTTCATCTTTATATTTCAACCTCATTACTCTGCGAGGCCTGAACACAAAAAGTAAAATGAAATAAGACAGTTATTCAGCCAATTGAGGATAACGTTATAAGTTCCGAGAGCAATTCAATGTGGAGAATTTTGAAAAATGAGAGTGCAATAACGATGTCATTTTGGTTTATACACTTAAACAACACACACCTCTAGTAGTGCCTGTTAAGTCAGTAACTTGGTTAAATTCATCTCTGACGTTTTCTAATGCCAATTTTAGAGAACCGAAGGTTTGACTGAAGCTAGAAAAATCACTGGATTTTGGATTTATTCGTTTTAGATGAGTATATCGAGCACTCTATAGATGTGTTAGCTACTGCATGCCATTTAGTCTGAAGTAGTCTTTCAATAATTGGCCTATTTTTTTCCTCATAAAAACGAGTGAGTTGATGTTTTGATGGTTGAAAATTCATGCATGATGTCGGCAAAGAGAAAAGTAGACCTGGAGATGACACTAAACCAATTAGGTGCATATGGAAATTTGAATATTTTCAGCATACGATTGATTGAATGAAATTCTTTATAGTTTCTTAGGCATGTCTGGTGTCTTTTTACAATGATGAATCAGAAACAATTAATCGACAAGAAATATATAAGCATAACACGAGAATCATCCATTCTCTTATAGGTAAGAGTTTTGAAGTTGAGCACTTATCACTTTTTCGAAATTTGCACCTTTATACACGTATTTTGTGAAATCAGAACTATGAAGTGTCTAACGCTATATTTTTTCAATCGTTGTGGGCAGTATCTCTTTGATAAATATATCTATTAGCCAATATATGTTATCCTCAAATGTGGATGTATGAAGCAACAAATAAAAATTGTATTAATGACCTATATAATATTTCAGAACGTCCTAGTATCATAACTGAGGAAGTTTATTCATTTTGCTGCTATCGCGGTGGTCAGCTTCACAACGAACAAAGCGGAATTAAACCCTATTATTCCTCTAAAATTATGCATTTTATGGAAATGATACGTTGCAATGCAATCAAATACAAATGAGGTATTCATCAGATATCTAAGTACCTACCTTTCAAGTCTTCTGATGATGACTAAGTTTTTCTTTATCTAATAATGTCAAACATTTTTGAGTATGTAGGCACGTACCCATATTGACCTCGAGATCTTTATAATATTACAAATGGTTAAGATAAAGCTTTCAATGATTTTCGATATTTCAGTCACGTTAAGCTGTTAGCCCTCATTGACTTTGAATAAACTATACCTGCTATATGTAGGGTCATTTGTAGCTAACTTTTGTAACAGATTTCACACTGCCCAATCTACAATTCCTAATTTTTATTTCTGACACTCATATATTAAACCTTTTTATGGGAGAATCTTTATGTTTCAAAAGTTTATCTTTTTTTGTGATAATGCTACGAAGGAAACAAATCAAAATGAATCCCTCTGTTCAGCTAGTTACTCTGAGGATGAGTTGAGGTATTAGTATGGATGAACCACTGAACTGAACACATATAGAACGATAAAACATGAATATTATCCATATCTCAAAGTGGTCCAAATTTCAAAATAAAACAACAAATAGAACAATGTCGGTGGACCACACTTTTATATAATACAATTAATCACATGTAACCGGTTTCGGCACTACGGCCATCATCAGAAAGGAGTACCAAACAATATGGAGTTCAAGTAGTACCAATCATAATAGAAAAATCGATCATATTGAAACAATGGAATTTTTTTTCGCAGAACAGCAGCTATAATGAATGCATGTATAACAACATTTTAATTACAAAATAGACACATATAGATATACCTAAAGCTAATTCGGTCGGTATTGAAAACGACATTCAATGATATATCAATCAATTCCTCTTTCTATGATCATAATGGATTTTCTTTTCAAATATTCTGGTTTGTAATTGAATGGAACAGCAGATTCTCTCGAAGGGATCTTGAAATTTTCTGTTTGATAATGGGCCTAAACTATAGTTTCATTCTAATCTGCTGTTATAAAAAGTGGATTTTAATGTATGTACTATGTACCTCACAAAATTCGCTTGTGTTCAAATCAATTTCTTATCCAGGCCGCTCCATACATTCCTTCCATAAGATAATGGGGTTGATATTTCTTTTGGCGAATTGAATAAATGAAATCTGTATTCTCTTTAGAATTCCAACAGTTCATTACACAGCCCCGGACAATTTCATTTATGCTTTCTTCTCAATAATTAACGAAATCATATTCCAATTCTTAGTTTCATAAACAGTGCGGAACCACTATGGTGCTCTTGTCACAATGCAACTTAATGAATTTGAACATTCAAAAACACTAAACAGTTGTTATTTCTGTGTCCGAACTCTTATACTAATACCATCCAGTGACTCTAGGTGATTTAGGTTGGATTATATCATGATTGCTTACTCATATCGACTTTCGAGCATAACATAGATACACTGATATTTGAATGATCATCATGATTATTTGAACGAATTGAAAGCAAAAAGGAAACCGTTGGAACGATATGCGTGCGTTAGACCTTTCAGTGGCATAGTCAATGTTCCTAACGTCACTCCATTTTCTTTTCTAGGACGGAATCCTTTGCTGTAGCTATACTTTCAATTGTGGTGACGATCCGCGGCCAGTTGGATACGACGGAGTGGTGGCGCCTAAAGACGAGACTGCGAACAGTGCTAGTGCGCCGACTGACGTTGCTAAACAATCTAGTGTCCTTCGATTGGCTACTAATAGTGCTGGGTTCTATATCAGTGACTCGAGGGGTAACGAAACGCAGGGGGTGCCGCCAGGGGGCTGAGGACGCCCCTGATAGGACCGGTCTTACATTCCTTGACACTTGTGAGCCGACGTGAGGGAGACGCGCATGCGCTTGAGGCTCTCCGCGTTTCGAGTGTCTTCCTAGATGCGTAGGGGGGATAATAGTCTCTCTGCTCTCGCTTCTACAGCTTGCATTCGTTATGTTGTACTCGAACATGATGGTCGGACGCATTATGGGCTACTACAATGTCTCGTTTTATACTTAAATGTTTATCGATAGGTATATGTAGCACTGCGGACCCAGACCATTGTATTGTATACTCGTCGAATGTCTTCACCCCTACGAAATTGATAATCCGGTCAAGTTAAACATCCGAGGTTACAAAAATCCGCAGCGAGCTGAAAGTTGGTAGGATTGTTCAAAATATCATCATACATGAAATCTAGAAAGTCCTCATCGATCCGACACCTGGAAAAAAATTTACTAGGTGTCAAAGGTCACAAAAACGGTTTTTTCGCGATTTTCAGCAAAATGGTGAGTTCAATCATAAAATTAGCAGAGACAAAAATTGTAGATCAGATACTTATCTATAAAATATGTTCGATTACTTTTTTCCTTAGAGCCATCGTTTTTGAGATATAACGATTCGAAAAGTTCAAAGAGTTCTGTAATCATCATATGCACACGTTTCCACGCCACCTTTGAGGTAGTGTACTTAGCACCATAAAAGTCCACGACGGGAAAGTACCTGTCGACCCTGTATTGTTGTTTCAACGAATGAGTATTACTGCGACATTTCGAGATGAAATTGAAAAATATTTTGACTATATGAGTTGGCTCCTTACCCATTATCATTGTTTGATGACAATGGCATGCGTAAAACACAGAAATCTGCCTTTTACGGTTGTTTTCAAAAGGAAAATATTGAAATTAACAACATAAATGCGACATACATCATTGATGGAGGATATTTATTATACCGCATAGTATGGGATAGCGAAGAAACATTCAAAGTTATCTTAGATATATTGAAGCCGCAGAACAACTTCGTACAACTTCAGCAACATCTTCATCTTCTGATATTTCATCTGATCAATCTTTGACAGTTCCTACCACTCAACAGAAATTTCTTGCAAATACTCACAACAAAACTCGGTTCATTTCAATGTTGAAAGAAAAGTTGACTGCTGAAAATATATTGGTTAAACAAGCTAATGATGATGCTGATGTAATGATAATTGAGACAGCTATAGAGCAATTCAATTCAATAAATACAACTCTTGTTGTAGGTTTATAGATAATTATCTGATCTACAATTTTTGTCTTTGCTAATTTTACGATTAAACTCACCATTTTGCTGAAAATCGCGAAAAACCCGTTTTTGTGACCTTTGACCCCGAGTAAAATTTTTCCTGGAGTTGCTTGCTGCTAATTTTTGTAACCTCATTCGTATTTTTCGGTGTAACTTGACCGGATTATGAATTGTTTATTGCTTGATGCATTGCCTTTATATACCTACTGTCGCATTTTTGTTAAACTCTGATACATCTTTGGTGATATCTGGCAGAAAAGCCATGAACCACTGATCAAAAATCAAACTCGTTTATTAGGGATAAGCTAAAATTCATGTAGTCTAAATCGGCCTCTGATTGGATTGTATTGGAAGTGCTTAATCACTGTGGCGTCTATTCCTAGGCTAAGACTGATTTTCGTCTCTGGCTCCGCATCTCACAGGTATATTTGAGCTATCAGGATAGAGGAAGGTGAAAGACTTTGTAGGCTCACTTTTATACGAAATATGGTTGATTTTGGTCTCGTAGTGCTACTTATACATTTTTTGTGATTTTATACAAGGTATATTGACGATACTATTATTGTTGAAGATATAGAAGGCTTTTTATCGGAGATCTTAAACTTTAGCGCTTTTTATATAGATTTTTTGGTATTGTAAGTATCAATGAATCTCTTGAAAATAATAAATTGACAAAACGACGACTGCAGCGATATGTAATATTGGAAGTTGGTGAACATTCATCACCTTCTTCTATTTAAGTATATTCCTGAACTTGCAGTGAAATTAAAGACATGCTTTTTAAAGAAGTATTGACTCGATTGGACGGAGAATTTTTTTATAAAGATACATTTATTGAGGATAATACATATTTGGAGAAAATGAAATTTTGCAGTAATCTTACTCTACAGAAATCGGAATCAAGGATATAATCGGTCTCGTACAGTTGAGGAATAACGAGAATAGAAATAGGTAATTGATGATTTAACGACACCACCCAAATTACATTTTTAGATAATACAAACCTTATATCAATGTTCTTCATTGGACTGCCCCTTCAATAGCTTCTATGGAATCCTTATACAATTTTAGGTGATTCATGATATTCTAAAATTAATCAGTCATGAGTCAATTGTTCGGCCTTATCAGCGTTAAAAGGCAGAAATTGAAAATCAAAGATACTTAAAACTATAGACAATAATACTTAGTATATGTAATGTTCAATGTTCCTGGAGGAATTTGAAGAATAATTTCAAAATGGTGTAACCCAAAACTGTTGTGTGAGACACCTTTATACATACATTTTTATATACTGTATTGTGCTGATTGCTCGTATAGTTGATAAATAATAATACCCATACAGCGTGACTATTTCAAATGATAAACATATTTGATTACTCAACAACAATAGATACAGGTATGGAAAAAATACATTTCCCAAAAAGAACATGTGGAGATAGTCACTGTGGTATCACTTCGAAATGGACATGATATGTATACAATAGCCAAGAATAAAAACGGATTTCGTTGAAAAAATATTTGGTTTTGAAGAATGTTGTCTCTTTATTTCGAAAAGGTGCATTGTTTAAATGGATCCCGAAATATCGTCAAACACTTGACTTACCAGCAGCAAGCTGTCATGGATGTCATGATATTTTCATAAGTAATGTTCGATGTTCTGAATATTCGAGATAATTCTGTCGCTTCATTGCTCACGAAATTCTGTGGTATTTTTCTAGACTATTTCACGTGCACGAAGCATAAAAAGTATTTATTATAAATGAGTTATGCATTCTGACAAGTACACCATAATTATTATATGCCAAACTGACAGACTTCGCTTCGCTATCCATGGTTACATCCAGACTTTGCCTCGCTATACATGGTTACATCGTTGAAAACATTAACGCTGATAGACCAATGGGGATCGAAAGACAGCTAATGTTTTCGCGATAAGCAAACGTTGTCTCTGGCTTGTGATTGGTCAGATTATGTGATGAGTGAAATAGTCACATTGAGCCCAAATTATGATAGGCACTAAATATTAATTTGTATCGAAGAGTATGATAACTGCAATGAAATCGATTACATGCCAATTTGGCAATTCTGAACTTTTCAATTTATCGTAAGTTGCATAACGCGACAACTACAAATGAAAATGAGGCATTAAATTACCGTTTTATTCATAAAATGACGAGTGGAATAATCTTGACAGATATATCTCGTTTTATTGATGATTATCGAAAATTTCGTCTCTTTCGTGAATCAAATTATGTTGCTTCAGGAAACCATACTTGTAGCAGGAGAGCCAGCTGCAGATGTCACTTTTCATAAATTACCTTTTTGCCGTGAGAAAAAAGTGAGTACTTTTTTCCCGGAGATATATCACATATACGTATATATACTGTTGATGGCTTTCGTTGTGCTATAGTTCCGAAAAATGAGTTAATAATACCGTCTCCGAGGAAGAACTGCGAGTCTTTTTATCTTCCATTCGACTTCGCGGTTACGTATCTAAAAAACCACTTAATTCGCAATTTTTTGAAATCAAATCGCAGAATTAGACTGACAGAAGTGACATCAGATATTTGATTACTTCAAAAGAATGATAAAGATGCCTACAACGCAGGTGTCCCTACTGTTGAAAACTTAAAATTTCATGTCGATAATTTTCAGATTTCAAAATAATGTAATATCTTCTCAATATTGATTCGTCCTTTTCTCTGTCACAGAAAAATATAGTGTTATTATACACGGGAAAAATATTAGATTTTAGCTCACGGTTTTTTGTTGACAAACACAACCTGAAGCTAAAATCTACTACTTTTTTCCCTTTTATAATAAATAGTTATTTATTATACAAGGGAAAAAAGTAGTAGATTTTAGCTCCAGGTTGTGTTGTCTCCCGACGCGTAGCGGAGGGAGACAAAAAACCGTGAGCTAAAATCTAATATTTTTCCCGTGTATAATACACTATTTTTTTCTGTGGCAGAAGGAAGGACGAATCAATATTGAGGAGATATTACATTATTTCGAAATCTGAAAATTATCGACGTGAAATTTCAAGTTTTTAACAGTAGGGACACCTGCGTTTTATAGACATCTTTATCATTCTTTTGAAGTAATCAAATATCTGATGTCACTTCTGTCAGTTCAATTCTGTGATTTGATTTTGAAAAATTGCGAATTCAGTAGTTGTTTAGTAATATACGAAACCGCGAAGTCGAATGGAAGATAAAAGGACATGCAGTTCTTTCTCGGAGACGGTATTATTGACTCATTTTTCGGAACTATAGCACAACAAAAGCCATTAACAGAGTATATATATGTGATATATATCCGGGAAAGAAGTACTCACTTTTTTCCCACGGGAAAAAAGTAATTTATGAAAAGTGACATTTTATAACCTGCCAACAGAGATGAAATGAAAAACTTTTTTCCCCTCACAGAAAAATAACTATTTTATCCAAACGTAAATAAAATAAAGTTGAGACACCGAAATTGGCTCTTGGACTATAGCGATGCACTCGATCATACTTAATTATTTTCTCTGAACCGAAGGAATTCGTATTTCGATAATCACAAAATTCACATAAATTGTTGATAAGTTACACAACACTCTTCAAAACTTGCATCGAAATTCAACGAAATTCGTGAAATGTTATCAGGACTTGCAATGTTGATGAAGCTGCTTCAAGAAGTTTCAATGTATCATGATCTACGAATTTTAATCCAATCATCTGAGAATCTGAGATATAATAATAGGTTTAACTAAAAAAAATATTTATGGTACCATTTTAGTAGTCCCTAGTGTAGAAGCGAGTCGCATTAAAATAAATCCAACCACTTTTTAACGATTAGGAAATAATTTATCACATAGAAAATTATATAGTTTTTGTATTTATTTCATGGTTTGTATGTCTAGAAGAGTGGTTAGGTTGATTTTACAAGATAACTAGTACATAGTATGTACAGTGTGTCTACTGAAAGTGAGCATTTTCAAAATATCTTGCTTAATATAAGTACATCATACCTACACCGAAGCTACATTTTTATAGGGATTCCCATTCGTGCGCTCCAAGAGATTGAAAAAGGCACTTGCGTTATTTGTGTATTGATGAAATCCCATGGAAACATTATGATTTTGAAGTTGGTTATGGTTCTAGATACTTTTTCTTTAACATAATCATATGTATTTTGCTTCAGGGATTTTTGCAGTTTTGGTTTACCTACATTATATTTTGCAAGATATTATGAAATTGCTTCTCTTATAGAGACAACCTATATATGTTTCTGTTTCTAGAACATTCATAATAAAATTCTAGTCAAAACGAATTTGAGCTTGTTCCAATCTAATGCAAGCTTTGAAATAATTGAATACAACTTGTATTTTTTGCATGGTACAATTATTTTTATTATTTTCTCGCTATGGATCATCCCATCGATTTTATAGGCCAATCAAATAATTATATTTTGAGGAATTAATTTCCAGCAAGCTGGAAATCATTTAATTACCTTCATTCGGTCCCAAATGCGTGTAATCTAAGTTTGCACCATTCCAGGAGTTGAGCTTAACTTTTGATAGCCAAAAAACAGCCAAATTTTTGCACTTTTTTTATTTTTTTTGCTTATAGCTGCAAAATGGTTCATCGGTCGAAAAATGTCATTCTATTCAATAATATAGAAGGAAAAATTCTGCGTCGAATGACATCTGAAAACATCAAATTCCGTTTAGTAGTATAGCCGAAATCGAATGTTAAAAAAGAAGAAAATTTCGTAGTTCGTGCAAGCTTACATTTTGCGGCTTTCCAAGACGACATATCGTGAAAACAGATACTCCTATTGAAAAAACCTATGAAATAAAAGTTGTAGAGAATAAAATTTTACGTTATATAGATAGATGTCCAAATGTTTAAGTTTTCTTGATTTGTCCAATTATCCGGATATCTGAATGCCCGGTTCAGCATCGGTCCCAAATTTTGCATCAATTTATAATTATTTTTCATCTAGTGCGCGAAATGCTACTTTGGTGATCGAGAGCTGATTTTTTTAACGAGGCGCAGCCAAGTTAAAAAATAGTCGAAATCACCAAAGTATTTCGCGCACGAGTTGCAAACAAATTTTTTTTTACAAACGCCAAACAAAATTCATTGTACATAATAAATAAAATTAGGTAGTGTAAGATTTTGTCACAATTTGAAAGGAGTTTAAAAGCCCTTATTATTGTTACCTAAACATTCAGAAACAAATGATTCCATGGATTTTTTGCATTGAGTACCATAAACCATAAAGGTTGAAATATAAAAATCCAACATAGTTTACATGCAGTGTGCAAAATACCTATTTCGCAATAGGTGCCTATTGGAAAGCCGCAAAATGTAAGTTTGCACCGAACTACGAAATTTTCTTTTTTTTAACATTCGATTTCGGCTATACCTCTGAACGGAATTTGATGTTTTCAGATGTCATTCGACGCAGAATTTTGTCCTCTGTATTATTGAATGAAATAACATTTTCCGTCCGACGCACCGTTTTGCAGCTATAAGCAAAAAAATAAAAAAAGTGCAAAAATGTGGCGGTTTTTTGGCTATCAAAAGTTAAGCTCACCACCTGACATGGTGCAAACTCAGATTACACGCATTTAGGACCAAATAGAGGTATTAAAACGATTTCCAGTTTGCTGGAAATTAATTCCTCAAAACGGTTTTTTTCGATTTAATTTTATTAGCCTATTATGTCTAATGATTGAATGAAACATTCTTCGAAATCAACTCATTTCTCAATGATTTGAAAATGTTCAGTATTAAATGTTATTGAAATAAAAAGTCTTATTTTCTCTGGTGGTTAACAGTAATGAAATAATAAAAATAAATCTGAATTAACATCTTAAAAATTTATAGTAATGGAAGCATATCTAGTTATACTTAAAATTATTGCAATATTCAAATTGTGATATTGTTAAAATAAGACTAATTTTTCCATTATTTGTAACGATTTAGTTCCTCTTGATTTTATTTTCAGTGATGAATCTTCAGATTCAATATTTTGTTTCCTTTTGTCATGAATTATTATGTCATTTCTTCACATGGTGCGTCACAATTTGTTGCTTTTTAATTATGATTAAGAACTATACGTTCATTATTGATTTGCCCGCCCTATATATATACGAAAAACGTAGCACAAAGTTAATAAATATAATAATTATGACGAAAAGAAATTGACATTTCACTTTCCAATAGGAAAAAGATTTTATATATTCTTATCAGTGTAGAATGTTATGCTATGAGTGGGGAGTATTTCAGATTGACGCCCTATAGACGGATGAGTTTTTGGAACATAACGAAAAATCCCAAATAAAGATTCAAAAAGTGCAGTTATGTAATATTTCAAAATCGAATCTGAATACATCATAATATGATTATGGAATCTAATTTCTCGAAGTGACTTTTTGTTTCCTTGTTTTGAATACAAAATGTTCCTGATGGTTATTCATTACTATCAGAGCCAATGGAATTGTTCTATCTGATAATCAACACTATATATCATTATTATTATTGAAAGTGTTATTTTTCGAGATATTTTCACAAGAAATCTTGGTCAGCATGCAATGTTTGTGGATCCACTTCAGAATTCTTTACTGGGATTTTTCATTTTTGTTTGCCGAAAATGGATGGCTCATTCGATAGAGTATAGATAGATGAACAACGAATAATAGATAAAATTCTTATCTTGATTTGTAATATCGCTAGATACCTAATTGAAACTTGTAAATTTGTTATAATTTATTGCTCATGTATGGCGCAGTACCTATTTCATCATATTTTTTTGTACCAAAGAGGTCACTGTTGTATATAAGAATACGATTGCTGAAGTAAATCTGTTAGAAAATTAGTTGAAAAATAAATGCTAAATGAAGTTTTCGAAAATAGAGCACATAAATATAAATTGTCACACATCTGTATATTTCGATTTTGTTCTTTGATATCACCAATCACAGAGGTTTGCATCGAATCTAGAAAAACTAGCAGTTTTGAAAAGTCTCAATTTTTTCCTGAAGATTTTGCTTTGTGAATCCAAAATTCTGTAATCGTTGGCCTTTTTTGGAATTTACATTCTCGCATTGTTGTATTTTATTCGGAAGGTATTCATAAGATCATTATTTATGTACATTTTGAGATTTATATTTATTTACAAATATTTTATTATTGTACAAATATTGCCATAATCTTCTGTTGTAAAAATGTGTGCCAATCATTATTAAAATATATAATGAACAAACTATTTTCATTTCCATCATGAATTTGCTCAAGAATGTTTTACAATATTTATACAACAATATTAATGAATCGGTAGCAGGTATTTTATTCGCGTAGTGCGGTAGAAACTGATCATATCGATAGTTATTAATACCAGTCCAAATTTGCATGGACCTCCCAGCAAACATGATTGAGCGGTAAATAGGCGGCCGATTGCTGGTAACTGCGGTTAGTTGTCGGCAGCGGCACACCTATGTCGTTAAAATGTTGAAACGACATCGGTTTTGCCGCCATGGCTGAACGTACGCATGTTTATAATGGATGTTTGTTATTCAGCCAGAAATTGCCCGTTTAAAATTCCCGACAATCGTGCCGATGTCGCTTTGACGCAGTATGTATGTTGTTTACAGGTCAGTGGTAACTGAACCAAACGCAATGTTGGCATCACTGGGTTTTTGAGCATTGGTAGTACTGCTAATTTATTTTCGTGTTTTAGTTCTGTGTCCGTAGATCGCGTCAGTTGTCTGTCACTTGTCTTCAGGTATTTGTTAAACGGCGTGATAATATTAATATTATTTAGAAAAAGTTGGTGAGTTTTATGATTGATCCCAGCAAACTATCGTCCGACATCAAGAATAATGATATATGTTATATAACAATAATTAAACTCGTTATTGTCTACCAATCCATTTTTGTGGTAATGATTTTGAGCTAAATATTTGTTCATTACCCTATATTATAACAATGATGCTCCAATGCGAAGTTCAGCTCTTTACCTATATTCGAAAAATATTTGATTCACAGTAATAGATCAAACACTGGAAAAGTAATGTGGCTAGAACATTATCAGACTAAACCTATTCTACGTCGTCGAATCAACAAGTTATGATAGGTATATCGTATATGATCAAATATCAAATATAATTGAAGTATCGTACTATTTCAATTCTGTTGACTGATGGATTCGTAATAGTATCTTTCAAGTTTCGCAGTAGCCTAGTGGTATAAGCGTCTGACAGTTGATTGGATATCCGTTCGATCGCAAGTTCGAGTCCGACTCCCGACTATATCTTTTTTTTATTTCTAACCGAATAGTGTCGGTAGATAGTCGGGCGGCCTACTAGCGGCCGGTGCGACACGGGCTAGCCGGGCCGACGATGTATCATGATTGTGGCCCGCTGATGTTGACTGTCGGCAGTTTTTGGAGGGCGTCTAAAGGCCCGCGCGATACATGTTTGCTGGGCTAGGACCTGGTGAACTGGGGATTTTTCTGTGAGCTTCCTTCTCAATTCATCAAACAATTAGAATTATTGGAATTAGATCGGGAATGATTGTGTACCAAATGTTTGACAGTCGTAAAGTTGTCTTAGGTTCTCAAAAACAGAAAGCATTGGCTGAGTCAGTTTTATACAGCTAGAACTAGGATGCCGTAAACCTCTCTTTTTAACACTTTTACGCTTTTTTATTGAATACGACTGTATATAAGTAATAAAAAACAGTGCAGCAAATCTCATTTACGCGTCACCAATCATAGTGCGTGACGCGAAAAGCAAAAAAGCTGCATTGGGAACTCACCTTTTAGACTCAAGGGTGAGATTCTGAGGTATAGGTGTATTGAAATATACTTTTCAGGTTTCCAAAATGTTTATTACTTATAACATTATAGATTCTTGATTACAACTAGACAAAAATATCATATTAATTCGTATATCAGCGTAACATCATTGAATATTATTTTAGCAAAAGCGCCAAGCTATCGATAGACCATGAAAATGGCCGATGTAGATATATACAAAAAATCTCAGGTTATTTATTCGTAATCCTGGTCGCTCGAAATATCCTATCGACTGATGTAGCTATCATTCAGAATACCTTGCCCTATAGATCTTCATCATGTTACTAGTTATTTTTTTCTTTTTATATTTACAAAAAAGGTAAGTAGGTATCCAGAAGAATAGCAACTTCAGTCTTTCAACGGCTAGAAGGAACCATATTTATCCAACCTATCTCTCTCATACTCCTACGAAAAAAATGGAATAAAAAACGCGTCATCCAAAAATGTGTTTTCAAAAATATGCGCTCAAAGCATAAATATACAATAATTAATGTTCATAAGCTTTGAATACCCATATCGTCTTAACCAATTACTTAACGTGAACAGAGATTTCAATATTTCGGAATGTTTCTCGCGTCTAGCCAAAAACCTTCCCAAACATGAGATCCCCATGGTTAATAAGAAACCATAAAGATATCTCTGTTTATACAGATCTAACTGTGTCGATTGATTAAGAAATATCCTGCTGATCTTAAGCCATGGTCAGGGTACCAGCACCCATACCGAATCCAACTCCTCTGGGTCCAAAGTTCCTTCCGTAGCAACCTGAAAAGAACAAGATCACTTTATTTATTCATCCAGATAGACTGAAATAACTGGGACAGAAACAAAAGACGATTCAATTATTGTTTGACACGACGTGGAGTATGCACTTTTATAGAATCGGTACAATGCAATTTTCGCATCTTCCTGTATATTATATCATGTGTTCAGTACCACGAAACGAAGTGTGAGATCGAATTACATCACGTGAGGTCAATGACTCTCAAAATGGGGAATATTTCCGTCCAACTGGAAAATTGCAAGAGTACAACCATCAGTTCCTAAAAAAGGCAAAAAGACCCTACCTAGCTATCAACATAGAGCTCATGAAATACCTGGAACATTCAGGTATATCAACGATAGGCAATATGGCTTTCGTCATCAGAGATCACCTGGTGATCTGCTCGCTTACGTCTCACATATATGGCAGCAATCTATTGAAAAATATGGTGAAACCTTATCCGTGGCACTTGATATCTCCAAGGCATTCGATCGAGTCTGGCACCATCACGGACTCCTCGCCAAGCTTCCATCTTATGGATTGCCTTCCCAGCTATGTTCTCTGCTAGCTAGTTTCCTCTCAAACAGGTCTCTCCATGTAGTGGTCGACGGAGTTTCATCTGACTCTCTTATCATAAATGCTGGTGTTTCGCAAGGATCAATTCTAGCACCAACACGACTATTTCTACTCTATATCAACGATTTGTTGGAAGCAACTTCATGTCCAGTACACAGCTTCGCGGACGATAGTACCCACCATACCGCCTGCTCTTTCAGGGCTCCAATACCAGCCAGGCAAATCAGAAACGAACGAGGAAGAAATGTTGACAACATGAATATGGACTTGGCAACGTTCTCGAATGGGGATTCAATCAATTGGTAGATTTCAATGCAAACAAAACACAAGCATGTCTTTTCTCTAGAAAAGCCGATCTCACTGTGACCAACGAAAGCCTGTCAGGAGTAACCATACCTTTGAAGACATCCATTTCGATGCTTGGTATTACTATCAGCAACAACATTCCTTGGGAAAATCACGCTAAAAGTGCATCCCAAAAACTTGGTTTTCTGTTTCGGGCCAGGAGCTGGATCTACTTGATGAAGTATGAATTGGTGTTAGCCCCAATAGACCCAGACCCTTGCAAGTCGCAGTGGAGGACTGAATAGACACACTCACTCGTAACCTAACCTAACCTAACCTCATGACCTACCTCTGCAATAAATCTCTCCATCGGGCCCGTCGTTCAACTTGGTCGAGTCCAGCGAATTGTTGCACTCGCTGCAGCTGAAGCACCTTTTGTGCCACACCCCGTTCTTGCTGATCATCTGCTCGGCCGCGTACACCGAGTACCCGCACCGGCCACACCCCTGCCCTGGCGCCGCCTTCCTGCCGCTGTTGGGGCGGGGGTCGTGCACGGCGGGGGCGGTGCCCTCCGAGCAGACCAGCGTGGGGGCGTGGCCGAAGCCGAAGCCTTTCGGGCCGAACAGCTTGCCGTAGCAGGCGCGGCAGTGGATCTCCTTGTCGGGGCCGTCGCAGGCGAGGACGGAGTCGAGGGGGCGGTGGCATTCGGCGCAGTTGAAGCATTTCTTGTGCCACATCTGGAAGCATCCGAGAATTTGAAAATACAGTGGAGGCGAAGAACGCAAAAAAATATATTTGATGAAGTTTTATATCTCAGATATCAAAATATGTAGGACGCACTTCGAGAACTGATTCCTAACATCACAAGAACATCTTATGGACTTCCAAGGGACATCCCCAATTTTATACTTGGACATCCCATGGATATCCTTTGTCGGGACAGAGTACATACTAGGTACGTCCCAGGGACATCCGCTGACCGACAAAAAAGGCATCCAAGGGATGTCCTTCTGATACGTTTCTGAAATGTACCAAGTCCGAAGAGAGGATATCCGTAGGACATTCCAAGGATATTCCGGGGACATCCCCTTGACAAAAGGAGAAAAAAAATTTGGTGGAGAAGGGATTGAACCTTGGAACTTTAGCTTATCAGGCACGCACCCTACTCCATTCGCTAATATGCTTTCTGAAGATTTATGTACTGAACAGATTTATATTCAGGACTCAACTACAGAAACCTGAGAATACAACTTTGTTATGATTTGGGTATAATTATTATCATTCATGGGTGATTAAAAATGAGGGGCATTATGCATTTACGATTTCTGTTTACGAAAAACGGTCATTCCTCAAGAATTTCTGAGACTATATTCTTTGTTTTCACTACAATTATTTTCCGGAAGAAAAACAAACATTTTCAAAAAAATTCAACTCAATATTTTGATGAAATTCAATGACTCTGATGTGAATGGATATCAGATAATCCAGGGATACGAATAGGATAACTTAGGGATGTACCGGGCGGGATGTCCACTGAACAACCACTGCGAGACATCCCCTGGCTGCCCCAATCATGTCCTTGTACCGCGGGACAGAAAAGGGACGTACCTAGGACATTTCTGTGTTGTTAGGGATACGGCGTCTCAAGAAAATAAAGAAAGTTTCAATAAACAAAATTTCGTAAATGGATTCGTCTACCGGCTGCGACACAACATGTGCATCGTTCAGGAGGAGTAAGGTGGACTGTATTGCCATGACTCAGTATCAAATCTAGCTCCCTTGAATCTATTGGCCTAGCGATAGTGGGTGAATAATGCAGATTGAAACTGGGATTCAAAGAGAGATTGAATACTTACGGTTCCTTTAGCTAGTTGTTGTTCGGCAGCGAAGACCATTCCTCCACATCTTGGGCATCCTTGGCCAGGAGGGGCCTTGATCGAGGTCGTATCAGGGTTGTAGAAAGGGCGACTAGCCGAAATCTCATCCTCGCTATGATTATAAAGAAACAGAAGATGAGATTATTAAGGGAGAACCAGTCCCATATTCTTGTAGACAAAATTAAACATGGTCCTTCCAGCCGGATCATTGGATAGCTGGTGCCCAGCTTTCTACTAACTATTTGCACGATCGAATTGGTCGTAATTGAAGAATTTTAGAGTCCGACCAAATTGACTTTGGGACAGCACTTGGTCACGTTTACATTGAATATGCATCACGTGGTGTCCCAAACTGAACCTGGTCGGATTCTAACAATCAAGTATGCCTGAAAAGTTGAGTAGGAAACGAGGTGGTGTTGAGTTCAAACAATGATTGAGTTAATAAAATTAAGAAATCTTAGAGTCTCGTTGAAAGGAAATGTAGGTGACGTGATAAAATGTCTCGAATTTGTAGCTTCTGATTATTCAATATCGTGATGCAAACGCTATAAAAATGATGAGATATAAGGCACCGCTGAATTTGAAATCTGTTAAGGAAGGGTATTCAACAAATATTCGAACTCAACAATCTCAAGCAACCGACTAATCAATGGAATATACTTTTATTCAACCACGACAAAACTAGAGAAAGTTTCTGCTCGAGAGTGGGAACCAGCCCCGTATTTTTGTAGGCAAAATCTCACAACATCGAAAAACATTATCTACTTACGTTAGCCCATCGGTCTGGAGGAACCCAGACCCGCAGGCGAACCCGTACCCATGGGGGCCCCACTTCTTCCCGTAATCGGTCCTGCAGTAGACTTCCCCGTCGGGTCCGTCGCAAGCATTGATCGAATCCAACGTCTTGGTGCAGTCCCTGCACTTGAAGCACTTGCGATGCCACTGGCGGCCCTTCGCCAGGACTTCCTCGGCAGCGAAGACTACCCCTCCGCAGCGGGGACAGCCCTGGCCTGGCTTGGCCTTGATGGCTGCGGTGTCGACCAGGGTGGTCTTGGGCGCTTGATCGCTGTGCAAGAAAAAGGATATGGCAGGGAGTCTGGACACTGAGGTCCTTGGAATCTATGAGGGTAGTCCACTATTTGGAAAGCCTTGATAAATTGGTGAGCGAAGTAACTGAGCTTTGTGAATAACCACTAATAACGAAAGAAGAACAAGTACAACAACAATGCAAACATTACATGTAACCGGTTTGGGCGCAACGACCATCATCAGACGAAAACGTACCTGTAAAATGATGAAATATGACAATACAGTCATAGGGAAGTAAACAATTTTTTTAAAGCATACCAAAGTATGACATGAAATGACCAGGCAACCAAATCGTTAACAAGCTATCAGAGTCAGGCACATGTGGTTCTTTTTAAATTTGGTGGAGAGCCAGAAACAACTGGCTCTGACAAGATTGAACATCTTATCGAGTATTGGTTTTCATGAACTACATAATATAATTAAGGAAGTCGTCATATCAGTGATCAGTGAGCAATGGAACACAGAAATGAAAAATTGAAGACAAATTGAAAAATGATAACTGTTCTATTGTGTCATTACGGTTATTTTGGTTCTGTCATTCAATTCTATTGTTTTGTGTTCAACTGTCGAAGTCTTCGTTCATATTCCATACGTATTTTGTGATCTCTCGAAACTCTGCCATTTGAATCGATGGAGGAAGTCAGATAAATTTTCTAAGTAGAGATCAAATAGTTGAATTGGTTTTGCGAGATTCCTCCTTGAAAAAATCAATTTTTGTTTTCACTCTTGACCAATAATGATTCTGATAGAATAGAGAACCATATTGTTCGAGAATAAAGCAAATAGAAATATGTTTTATATTTTTGAACCGTATATAACCACTAGTACTTGAACTAACTCACAGCCTTTAATACTGGACTACTACTACAAACATCATCGATTTCATGAACAATAACTAGTAGGCTTTTTATGTTTTGTTTCTCCTATAGTGGACCCACCCTTAATGATCCCAAGGTCAAAATAATCCAGCCCTTGACAATTTTTTCAACCGAACCATGCAGTTTAGATTAGTGTTTATGAGTGACAGAGGTCGAAACACATGAACATATCCGACTGAAACATCCACAAAAAAGAGAATAAATGTGGACAATACCTCTGCCAATCAATGTCCAAAGCGTCTGACATTAGTCCAAGGAATAGCCCCCCTGCGTGTCCAATCCCACGTGGACCATAGCGTTGAGCATAGCAAGCTGTATTTACAAAAAAATCCATATTGTTAACAAAGCACAGCTTGGGGATAGGCCTGATGAGAAGGAGATTCGAAATCGATTCGTAAAAAATTGAACATTTCAATATGGGTGGGAGAAATACCAACTATATCTCTTAAACTATATACGAAGACGTAAAAGAGCCAAGAACTTCATTAGGTTTTTCAAAACATTTGGATTCCACTCTGAAGTAGCAATTGTCACTTTGAAGTAGCAATTATCACTTTGAACTACCGATTGTCACTTTGAATTGGCAATTTCCAGCAAATACGAGATAGTTGGCAATTAAATGGCTCATTCATTTTTGTGAAGTCGTAATGCTGGCACTATTTGTCGGTGATTGAGATGTACAACTTATTACTTGCTGTTTCATCTTATAATACGTGTGTGTATCACACTATTATTTTAGTAGTAAGTAAAACATTATATTTTATATAGATCAATGTGAATCAAGATCACATTATTTTTACGACATCAGGAAATCAATGAGTAAGTTTCAGTTTCTAAAGAATCACAATGGACCACATTAACCCATCATATGCATTCATTGTGTTTTTTTCGAAGGAGGTTTTCTGTGTAACTCGTCATTCGTTATTGTTAGATGTGAAGTGAACAACCGAATAGACGAATGCGAAGAGATGTAAAGAACATTATTGATTCTCGTCTATTCGAAATATGGAATTGAATAGTATGAATTAGAAGTCTTCTCAGGAGATAGCCAGACTTGTGAGGTCGGTGAAATACTTATCGTGATAGTATGTTGAACAATATTGTGGAGTTTCACTCCTGAGCGATAGTTTTCTATCTCAGACTCGAGCCTCTGCTTTTCCCTAACTACTCTTGCAGCAGACAAGGTTATATCCTTGAAGGTAACTTGATTCTCGCAAATAGTTTCAGATACTCACCCAAAAACTTCCCGAATTTTGCCCAATTGCCACAGTTTCAAAAAATTTCAATATCAAGCAACATGGAATTCACGAACTCTTGGCAAATTGACCAAATCATTTAGTATGTCATCAATTTTATTTCACAATGATTCTATTGTATTTCAAGCAATGACAACTCTGTCTAATAGATGGGCATTACTAAGAGAAAATCAGATGGCTACAAGGCCAAGAATTCAAAAATTCTACCAACTTCATTTTTGTAGGTAATGACTATCATTCCGTGCTCGTTGAACAATAAACTATCTCTGCATGTCTGTTAGTCATCATCGAGCCATCAATAAATAAGCAATAAATGGAAGTACTGCTTTGCCAATAGTTCAGTGGGTCGATATTGCTCGAATAGTGGCGGCTCAGGTATTAATGCTTGCTGCATGAGTCGTCACTTTCATCACTCCAAAACTAACGTTTATCACCAATGTCAAGAGATAATATTGTTTTTCAGTCAATCCACGTGGATGTATTGCTACATCTAAGTGAAAATTCCAAATATTTTGTAAAAACCAAATCAAAGCTGTTGGCTCTTCTACGTCTTCGTACTAGATCTGAGAGTTCATTTAATGGTTGCCCCATACCAGCTATTATGACAAATTAGCGTTGCAAACTTTCTGAGTAAGCTCTAGAATTTTTCTACGAAAAGATTTGTAAAACATAAAGACAGATCACACCAAATTATCTGAAAATATTTGTTTACCCAACTGCGAAACATTCGCTCTGTAGAGTACCGCCACCTTGACCATAACCGTATCCTTTGGGGCCAAAACGTTTTCCATAACAAACTGAGACATAACATAACGATTACTTAGTATATTAATAAAAAAAAAAACAGTCGGAAAACATATTTCAATGAAAGAAATCCCACAAATAATATATTATCATTTCATCTTCAACTAATAATTGCCAGTATCGAAACAAAGTATACCAAATGACAATGAGGAATGTTCAGTAATGTTGAGCAAAACAATTGTGTGCGAAAGTGAATTTGTGAATTTTATTACTCAATTGAGTAAAAGTCGATTCAATTCACGTCACGTTCCCCTTCAACTATCATCACAAAATGATTCTCCTAACCATTTATTTATTAATTTTTCCGTCGACCTCGTATTAACGACTGAGTTTAATGTATATGAAATCGTTCATTAATGACCCCTATTAATGAACGATTTGTCTATTAATACACGATTGTTTTATAGGCAACCAAACATACACCGCGTGCATTCATTGTATATGCTATAACTTACGGAATCTGCATTTAAATCGAAAATATGGATTTCATCGACGATTTTCCGCTAACGGGTTCGCCTTTCCAAGTTTCTGACACGATATTAATCCCTGTTTTCTAACACAAGGAATTTATTTCCTATGTTGATCATTTCGACAAATGTCAAATGTGTCTAATGTCAGTTACAAGGCTACTGGTTGATTCTTAGCAGTTTCCGGATGGATGATGATTTGGCGAACCAAGTTTTCTTCATTGCAGGAGAAATGAGAAATATAGTCGACGGAAAAATGTTGTAACCAACTTGTATATTAAAAGGCGATTAATACACTAGTTGGTTAAATAACTATTACTGAGTCGATTTTTTGATATGTCAAAAAAACTAGTCTAATTTGACACTGCTAAACCAAATCAAGATAAATCAAATATAGTGTCAAGTATCAATGATAGTGAGGTTTCAAGCTTTGGGATTCCTGCAAATTGTTATAAGATAATCCTACAAGCTAAACCAACATTCACCGATATTCTGGTGACTCTCAATAATTGTTGCCAGAATCCTATCTAAAGTTTCGTGGATACTAGGAACACTTAAATGATATTAATGATGAACATTGCAAGCTTCGTTTTCAATTGAAAAACCGACAGTTACTTGTGAACTAGTTGTTCATATTCTATTAAGGGGTAATTTTGTTGATAAGTAGTCCTTAGCATTCCTAGCTGAGACGAAACTTCACAAAAGTTTTTCTTAGCAAAGCTGTCGGGTGATCTGGAAGTAACTCAATTTTGGTTGCTATTGCGAATTAAACTGGTTGTTGGAGTTACGAAATGATGATTATTTGTGGGAATTCAATTTCAGGCCTGAAACACACCTTTACAGTAGATTTCTCTATCTGGACCCTCGGTGACATTAACAGAGTCCAATCCTTTGTTACAGTCACCACACTTGAAGCAGGTTTTGTGGAAGGCCTTGAATAAAAACAAAATCGGACGACACCGTTAGAAACAAAGACTAAAAACAAGGTAGTTCACGGAAATTAGGCTATTGAGAGAAATGATTTTCTACTTAGATATTAGTATGTTTGAGGAGACTATTGGTGTCCTGAATAAGGTTTCAAGAATCCCCAGGGTAGGAGGCTATACGCATGAAATTTGGCAGATATTCGAACGTCAGAAACCTTACTTCACAATGTTACTTTCGTGAATTTCTCGATTCCTATTGATTTCACTACCAAGATCAATTTCTTCAAATCGAAAGACATGATGATTCGATACAAGAAAAGTTTTATGACATTTTCTTTCTAAAGTGATATTTTTCATTATGGATCGAATTATATTCGTAAAGAATTTTTTTTCACATTTCTTATACCGAGACATAAAATGTAAAGAAATAATCAACAATGAAAATAATTACTGAGATATTGGTGCATTGGAAAATTATCATTATAAAGGACGAATTTGGTATGGGACTCGCTATACAGTATGTATAATTTTTGTATAACTGACTCTTTTTCAATAATAGAGGTCCAATTCTAAAATTTGCAGGAGCGTGGGAGCTACTAAGGAAGATATATACAGGGTGTTTCACAGATAAAGGGAAATATTTCAATGGTACATAGGGGTCACCAAGGTGGTTCTGGAAATAGCATATTTGATAGATCTTAGAGTCTTCATAACGTAGATACAGGGCGATTTATCGATTTCGAATAATTATTCATTCGTCTATAAGTATTGAACTACCGAGTATATTTTTCTAAAATTTGGTATGGAGCTTATACTTGGGATGTTGAATTCATTCACCTATCGGGCGAAGGGAAAATCCAGGTTCGGCTACAAGAAAAATTTACATTTATTCGAAATATTGAAATATCACACTGTATGTAATAATTGACAGAATTCATCGAAGGAATCGTGAAGAGGAGGTAAAACTGAACTGGATTTGATGCTTTTGTTTTCCCGCCACCAATTCTCATCGTAACAATCATAAACAGAAAGCTAAAAGTATGTCAATTTGAAGAGTATTGAGTATTAAAATTATGAAACCACTTTCAATTATGATTATTTGATATATTCTTGTTGAATGATCGTTCGAAAGGACTTACTAAGTCTCACAGTCTTTTTAACAGAGATACAGGGTGAATTATCGGTTTCGAATAATTATTCACTCGTCCATCAGTATTAAACTACCCATTGCAGTAATATATCTCCGTTATAAAAACTGTGAGACTTAGTGAGTTCTTTCGAGCGATTTTTTGACTAGAATATATCGAATAATCATAATTGACACTGGTTTCATAATTTCAATACTCTTCAAATTCGTTAATTATTAATTAACTAATTACTCGAAATCGATAAATCGCCCTGTATCTCCGTTATGAAGACTCTGCGACCTATCAAATATGGTATTTTCAGAACCACCTTGGTGAGCCCTATCTACCATTGAAATATTTCCCTTCACCTGTGAAACACCCTGTATATTAGGAAGTAAGATGGATTGAAAATATCTCGGATTCCAAATCAAATCATCAGCATTAGTACCGATAAATATTGTTTCTGTGAAATTTTTAGGTGGGAAAAATCAACTTTGGTGCAAATATGATCGAATGTGTGATAGCGTACACTGAAAAAAAAATAGTCGGTAAGAAGTACAATACGTTTAGTAATAATGTAGGCGCCAGTTACTATATATTCATCTAATAATACCACTGAGAAATTGTATAATATACTATACTATATCAAAAATATTATCACTACAAAATGGTAGAATACTTATATATAGTACGTTTGATACAATTTTGTTGTGATATTATTTTATGAATGTAGTGACGACTGGTGCCTATTCTACTAAACGTTTGGTATTCACTACCGACTATTTCTCTGAGTGTAGCCTCCTACCTTGGGGACACTAACATACCTGTACCTGTGAACATACTAATACCCTAAGTATGAAATTATTTCATATCAACGCATATTTCTTCACTGAAATCAGTGGACTTTGTATGGGGTGTCAAGAAACGTCACCAGGGACACACTGACATGCTGAAAAAAAGTGCAAGAATGGTGATGGAGTACCTCGGCAATACACCAGTCCGTCTGGTCCGTCACAATGTGACGTAGAGTCCAGCCATCTTTCACAATTGTTGCAACGGAAACATATTTTATGCCAGCCCTGAGAAAGTCGAAAAAGCAAAGTGATAGACTTTCTTCATGATTTACCAAATAATCATAATGAGTTTTAGGAATTCAGGAACTACATTGACAAAGAAACTGAGTTGGCTCCTCTTACTTGATCTTGGAAAAAATATCGAATGAAATATCTACTATACTAATATAAAATCTCCACAATCCATAAGATTTCCAAAAAATTCTCAAACACACGACATGTTTCGCTAACACAAGCAAAATTTAATCGAATAGAGCGAATAAAAGTGTCATATATGCACGACAAAATATAATCTTGAAATGAGTAAATCTATATTTTTTTATCGCTTGGAGCGCACGAAAGGAAATCCCTATAATGTTCAGAGCGAATTTGAAGTTTGAATCAAGTAAATATGTCTTGCATGAACTCTGGATCTTCTTCGATCAAGCAAATCCATGAATTGTTTATGAAGAGATATTGAATTGGCTCAAACAATCATTTTGTTTGATTCAAAATAACAAGATATTGATTCAATCAAATATTCAGTTGATTCAACGAAATATTTGGTTGATTCAAAGAAATATTTGGTTGATTCAATAAAATATTTGGTTGATTCAATTAAATATTTGGTTAATTCAATGAAATATTTTGTTGATTCAAGAGAAACCATATATCCATTCGACCAATCGTTTTGTCGAACCAAATTCAATATTCGGAAATTTTCTGAAATTTCACATCAATAGAATAAACAAAACTAGGAAACTAGTCGACTCCCGTCCCAGCATAGATCTCAAGTTTTTACTTCTCCTTAGCTGATGGAAAACTATTTCGGATTGCTGATCACTAAGTTCGATTTATCCAGCTGATATTTCGAACACGAAGAATCAGGCTTCACGTATATAATGAATTCGAGGGAGGCATAGACGAGGCGAAATGATCGCCATCTAGAGGCAAAAATTTAAGCTGATGTAGAATGAACAAAATATTTCATTGATTTTACATATTTCGTTGCTCTATTCAAGCAAATGATCTGTTCGAAACAAGTTTATTGCTACATCGGAATAAGAAAACTTGTATGTTGTTTCAAAGATATAATCTCATCACAATGATCATTGTTTGATCAAATCAACAAAATATTTATAGTTGAATCAACATCGACATTATTTTGGATCGACATAATTTGTTTTTGAAGAAACCATATATTTTGTTGATGGAATTGATATTATACTGTTGATTCAATTAGCCTACATTCTTGATTTGAACAAGCTGCTTCCATGGAATAATCATGTATCTGGTTGATTCAACAAAAAATTGCTCAGTCCAACAACAATAACTCGAGCATACATAATTTGTTGATGCAACTAATCCTTTTTTCCGTGTGTGTTAGAATTTTGTGTGAATCTTATCGTTTGTGGTGATTTTACATTTCCCATTGATTTCTCTCTGGTTTTTCATCTGAGCTTCATGAGGTTTCATTATCAATGCAATTCGCTAAATGTTTGAAAATCAATATAATACAAAGAGATTTTCATTATTTGAGATTACTATCTATGAAGGACTGTTCATGATTACTGTTTTTCAATCGAAATAATCACCTACGCCTTTATTTGAATAAGGAAGCAAATTGGTAAAACCATAATAAATGTCTAACAAATTTCAAAGTATCCATAGAGGACTCAGGTGATTCGGTTTCAATATATTATTTTTTCGTATTGATATCAGAATCAGAAGAAAATGGACATCAGTGAATGTGAAATACGAAATGTCATTTTAAGATCAATAGGAATGTGTTTCAAATATACGATGGATGGATGGATGAAAATCTGTTGTTAAGATGTCCTCATCTTTCTCTGTAGATCAGATAACATCAGGAAAATCAGATCAAATCAAAAGATGAGTATCGACGTATATTTGCACACATCAGGTACGCGTTAGTTTTTTATGAATTCCACAGTTTTATTTTCATATGAATACAATGTTTTATTTAGCTATCACATTCTTTCTGACGTTTTCAAGATGTCCGAAATACAATGTCAATATAAGATCCTTCTTAATTTGGTATGAAGTTTGTCGTAATTTATAATATACTTTTGACCAATTATCAGCGAGATAACTTTCAGATTCAAAGTATCCATAATCAGATTCCGTTTTATGAATCAAATAATTATAAAATCTCACATGATGTAGACGAAAAATGTCGCTTAATTTTTTCATGTACATGAGATGAGATTATGATATTCCCTTAATTCAAAGTGCCCTGAGAGTATAATGCCGTGCTAAGCGCAGAAGCGGTAACTGACATTTTCAAGGAAATTGGGATATTTGCTCCACGTAAATGTATGACTCGGAATCTGTCTAAAACTAGAGTTTCATAGCGGTAAATACCTTTTTTCTATTTTTATTTCGAATTTTAAATAGCGGTATCTACCAACTTTCAAATATTGTAAAAAATTCACTACGGTGTTAGGCGGTAATTATCATTTGCTTGGGCATTGCAGGGGTAATTACTGCACATACCGCTCAAATATATTAGCGTTTGTCGAATACGCCCTATATACTTAAGTTTTAATGCATTTTTCGCGCAAACGGCTCAGTAACATCAAGGTGGTTGAAGGATGAACATCGCTGAAGTGTTTGTCGCATTTCATGAATAACTGTGTTAGTAGTTAGGTATATTGATTGAAAAGGCCATTGTTTCGTAACAATTGAAAAAAGGTAATTATAGACTGAAACTCATCTTCTTTGTTGTCAAACTATATTATTTCACAGAAAAATGACTTCCGATCGAAGCAAGTGAATTTTAGAACGTGCTAAACTTGTGTATGAAGAATCCACGAAGCACTATTATTGCAATCAAGACAAATAATAGTACAATGAGATATATTGGAGTTGATATTGATGACATCCCTATAAGTATTTATGAATCAACCAAGGCTCAGAATCCAATTTCAGTAGGAGTTTTAGAGTCAACTACTACTAATGTAAAAACTTCACAAACGATGAGATTTCCTCTATGTTCCGCTGAACAGTAGCTTCATCAGGTGAAAAACTAGTACAATGAAATAAACCAACCTGAAGGATTGGAATTACCTGTGAAAAGGTTCGATAAACCTTCATTTTTGGAAAATAGGCACAATATCTACATCAGAATACGGTGTCACGGATTGACTTGAAAGGGTTGATAGCAAATACATGTTATTACCTACTAAGAAAACAAATTCAACAGTGGTGAACTATATTGAGGTCTAGTTGATCGTTGAGTAAAATGTTAGAATTTTCAAGTTTGTTGATTTCTAATCATCCACAATGATTGAGTTTTACTCCTTCATTATTTAATTCCCATATTATTCATTGATGAAGGAGTACCTTTTACTATTCCCTGGGAGATTCATTTGAGAAAAATTGTAGATACGTCGAAATACCTTAGCAACAAAGCTGGAAAAAAAGCCGTATCTACATTCCAGAATGGTTTCGTGGAGAATTTCTGACATTCAACAAATCACAATGATAACATAAGGTCCATATTTAACAGTTACCAAAATTCAAACTCATATTTTGAAAAATAAGGTTGGCAGGACGAATACTCTCAAATATCAATTATCTCAGAATGCCAACGGTGTCAATTATCGCATCTGCGCTTAGCACGGCAGTATACCAAATATGTCAGAGATCCCAAAAGCGATCCCAAAAAATGTAAACCGTATATTATTGAGAAATTGAAACTATAAAAATCTCAATTATTTTTAGGGGTAGACAGGAAGGGAAAAACTCACCCTTCCACGTGCAAGCATTTGTTCAGCAGCGTAAACGAACCCTCCACATCTAGGACAACCCTCCCCCTGTGGGGCCTTGGCAACAGAAGTTGACAACAGCGGGGCTCTGGATAGTACTGCTCCTTCCCTAAAACAGAGAAAAAAGCAAACTGAAAATTCTGAAAATAATTGGCTGAATGTGCAAACTGTTATAGAAGCGAAAAAGAAAAAGAAAGTGAGAATTGTGCGAATGAATGGAAGTGTGCTGTGCTGTAAAGCTGGCTATGCTGAAACAACTAAGAATCATGTCATTGTTTTGTAAGAGGAGAAGGTGAATATAAAATGCGAAGAATCCTATATTTTCAAGAATTGAGGGAACTCTCCTTATCCCAGTACTTAGAGGTTAGGGATGTTATGATAGGAAACTACGATGTTAATATGCAAGGTATAGCTTTGCCTGGCCATGCTCAATCCTGGAAAAAATAATCTCACCGTTTTCGGGCTCCACAAACAACAATTTGGACCACAAACTTCACAACACTTGAGGAAGGGGTAACATGACAAGCACAATATTCAAAAACATCAACAAGTTGTTTTTTGAATATTGTTGTATGGATACATTCACAGATACATTTTGATGTTTTTATTGATCAATTATTATAACAAAATAATCGAACTGTGTACCTAACATTTATGTAATATGAAAATTTATAAATAAAAAGATCTAAATTCATAATAGTAAAATTATTACATTTAGTGTGTAGTGGGATGATGGAAATTGGGTCGAATTTGATGCCAGCTCGGCTGTTTGGAGTGGTTTTTTCAGCTGCCATCTAGTGGACTCCTTCTTAGTTACCGCTATGGGGGTAAAAAAAGGACAAATCAGGACCTGTTCGGTTTCAGTGGCATCGGCTCGTGAAGCAAACACTTCTGAAGCGCTATTAACAACGTTGCCATTTAAAAAAAATAAAAATTTGCTGAAATTCGATGCTTCTAGAAGTGTTAGCTTGCAGTAATAGCAAAAACATTTGAGGAAGGGACGATTAGAGATAAGGAAAGCCCTCAATCTGACAATTGAAAACAATTGGCGAAAAACAGACTACTGATGATTATGACTTAATTTCATTCAACAATTCGACTACTGGTTCTCTATACACAAATTCCCAAATTGTAATGAGAAACAGACAGGCTGAACGTAGTGCCAGTGTTCTGCTAGAAGTTAAAATATTTAAATGTGTTTGAGTTGTTGACAATATATTCGTTTCTCAAGAAAAAATGGCAGAATGTGTATTGAATAAGTAGATAATATACAGGGTGTTGCGAAATTCGACCGACAACGCTTGACAGGTGATGTCATTATCACTGAGATAGGGACATACGGTCTTCAAGTGTTCAGTTCTCAAGATACAGGGCGTTGAAGTTAAGAAAGTAGAATAGTTTTTGCGCAATATCTCAAGAAAAATTGAATATAATGCATTCAAATTTGGTATATGGTTTCATCTTTCAATGGTTAATTTCTTGACCAGAAAGACATTCCGAGAATTTTATGCAGAGGTGCGCTACAGAGGGTTGTGATAACTTTTCCTCCCATATTTTCGTTGTCGGTCGAATTTCACAACACCCTGTTTATTATTTTAGTAGTTTTCAGTAGTTTCCCGTGCTAAACACTTTCCAAATGAGTCAGTTTTTCGTACTCAAACAAAAATGAACCAAGGTTTCAGATCACGAATCACTGAACAATTTTTCTTCTAGTCAAAAATAGTATATAGTAGTTTGAACAATTTTGTATCCTCAATAGTATCAAAGTTACTCGATTCAGATCACATCAATGTATGTTCTGAAAATTATAAGATGTACACAACTTCTATTCCAGTTAATGAGGATCAGAATGTTCCATCTCAAATGATGAAGTTATATACAATGACCGGCAAAAAAAAGATCCACAAAAAAATTGAGCCAAATTCTTCGCCCTGTCTCTTTCCTAATTCTGGTTCAATTTTGGTGAAATTTCGACCAAATTGTATATTCAACTTTCAGAATGTTGTCCTGAATATTGGTTCCTGAGAGAAGCTGATGTCTTTATCATTATAAAGCGAAAAACAAAAGTTACTCCTTCACCCCTAACTTTTTAACACCCTGTGGCAAAACTGAGAGGTTAAACTCCGCTTTATTATGTTTTGGTTTCTTATTCACGTCGATAACCACTTTTTAAGAGAAGATACAAGGGTTTTGAGGAGTTATGGATTTTTCAAATTTTATAAACACTAATACAGAACCATTCTCCAACTTTCTGCTTCATCATGTTATTATCTTATTTTGTCCCTTCTTAACACAATAGTTCTAGATTCACGTCAATATCTTATTTTAAAGAAAAGATATAAATGTATTGGGGAACTATTGATTTTTTTTATTTCTATTAACAATAATGCAGAACCGATAAAGCATCTTAGGGATGAATTCCAGAGGCTCATTTGCGTCCGTCCGGTCTTGTCAGATAGTCAGAGAGCTATGATTCGCCATTCAAGGAAAATTTTAGGCAATTGTTCATGACTCCTTGAGAAATTTGACCAACTCGATGCCACAGTGGTTGAATGTTGTAATTCAAACTCAAGGATGGCATACTCTCATTGACTACAGGTCTGCTTTTTGTTTGTTTATTGTAATTAAAGTTTTTTCCGAAAGGTTCTGATTATTGTTAATAATAATTGAAAGACATACCTTCTAGAAACACTCGTATCCTTCTTTCAGAAAAAAGATCATGACGTGAATCAAAAGCTATTGTGTTGAAAAAAGATCACACTTCAATCCAAAGCATGATGGAGCCAAGTTCAACCATTCAATGTCGCCCCAGGGTGTTGAGAAGTAAAGGGCGAAGGAGTAGCTTCGGTTTTTCCCTGTATAATGATCAAGTCATCAGCTTTCCACGGAAACTAATACTTAGGCTAACGTGGAATACGAATCTACGATTCTATCAAAGTTTCACAAAAATTGTACAAGTATTGAAGAAGTTACATGATGAACAATTTGTGAAATTATTTTGAAAGTCTAGTCATTTCTTTCTACAGGGTGGGCCACCAGTAACGCCTCGGTCTCTAGAAGGCTAACCACTTATCTTCTTGGAATTCTTCCTCTCTAGGAAGTTGCATGTCAACAGGCTACCATTCAAAATTATTTAGAAACATACAGGGTGTCCCCAAAAACCATAAAACACTGAAGTTAAACTTTTTTCTATCGAACACCCTATATATTATTTCATTTTGAGATTCTCCTTGATGAGCTGATTTCAACGCCCCATCATACTTGGGGTCTAGCAGTTATAATTACTGAGATATAGGGTGTGAGAAATCGAGATTTTCCAAGTTCAAGGATTTTTGTGTCTAAACCATTCATAATTGGTCCCTATCTCAACTTTTGATCAACTATCTACTGACATTTAATTGAAACAAATACAGGGTGGTGCAGAATTCAGAATCTTGATCACCCGGTATATGTCCCAATTGAATATCAGTAGATAGTTAATCAAAAGTTGAGATGGGACATTTAAGCCGTTTTGACCAATTATGAATAGTTTCGACACAAAAAATTCTTGAACTTGGAAAATCTCGATTTTTCACACCACATATTTCAGTAATTATAACTGCTAGACCCCAAGTATGATGGGTCGTTGAAATCAGCTCATCAGGGAGAATCTCAAAATGAAATAATATATAGGGTGTTCGATAGAAAAAAGTTTAACTTCAGTGTTTTATGGTTTTTGGGGACACCCTGTATGTTTCAAAATAATTTTGAATGGTAGCCTATGTTGACATGCAACTTCCTTGAGAGGAAGAATTCCAAGAAGATAAGTGGTTAGCCTTCTAGAGACCGAGGCGTTACTGGTGGCCCACCCTGTATATATCTGAAAAATATTGCATAAAAACCCTACAACTTCTCTCGAGCTCTCTGCCGACTTTGTTTACAGCTGAAAATTGATGTCGGAATATAATGAATGAATCTGTAAATAAATTGATGATGAACAGCATCAACAAAATTTTGAGATGATATCTCAAATAGTTTTCAACAAATCGACTGGCGAAAACCGTAAGCCACCTTGTATTAAAAAAATCTCCGAATTTGTATAATATTACAGTATTCATCATTCAGGAAAAATCTACTGAAAACTGATTTGTATTGTATCAAACGACGCGGTTCTAGAACGATTCGAAACTCACCCTTGGAATTGAGCACCGGTATCCATACTGAGACATCCTGCACCACCACCGAATCCGTATCCTTTGGGTCCGTATTTGCGGGCATGGCAGTTTTTGCAGTAGAGTTCGGCCTCGTGTTCTGTCACGTTGGTGGAGTCCAACATTTTACCGCAAAGTCCTTCAAAGAAAACATAATATTTTAAACCGCGATTCTATAAGGAATCGGAAAAGTTTGAGCATAATACAGTTGACGAGGTGACATATATGATGGTATTGGTATTGGTATTGGTACCCAATTAGATCTATTGTGCCCCATCTGCTCCTGCTATATCAAGGATTTCTTGTTCATAGCAGCCCCTCGAGATTCAATTCCTTCAGGAATTTGAGGATTTTGAGGGGGTCTAGCTGTGGTATTTCTTCCAGACATATATGATTATACAATGAGGCTTTCATTTCAAAGCTTCCACCCTGATGCATATCTCCTGATCTGCGGTGATTACAATATTCTAGTTATCCTGTAATGTTCAGAGAACATCTTGAGAACTAAGGGAAATAAGGTAGGAATTGGTGTTCTTCTTAAACTTCTGGAGGTTATATGCCTCATGGAACTCGTTGGATGAACGAGTCTTTGGAAATAGATGTTCTGCAGGTCTCCAAAGTGACCACGAAGGGGTGCGAAGCCTCAACTCGACGGGTTAATCTCGCGGGGACTGCCAAGGGAGGAACAATTGTTGACATTTCAGAAGAGCATCGTCCATGAAAATATATATGAAATAGAGCCAGATCTCCAACTCTTCTACAGTGTTCCAGAGAAGTGAGTTAGTTTGTGAGTGGGGCATCACCCACGAGACGAATTGCCCTTTTTTGGACAGTATCCAACAGTTTCAGGGTATGTTTGGGTGCTGCACTCCAAATATGAGAGCAGTATTCCAGGACAGGTCGGATCTGTGCCTTATAGATCATAAGCAGCTGACTGGAAGTGAGAATATTTCTTTTCAATACTTTCACCCAATCAAGGGGATCAAATTTGAACGATGGAAACTTGTTATTTCTATAGACCTCAATCGCAGATTCGTGATTATGTTCTCAATTCAGAATTTCTTTCCACGTCCTGTATGATGAATATCAATTTATCATACATCCAAAAACAAATGCCCAGATGACAGGAGCTATGTCAACAAATTCTAATTCTCAGATGTCAGTTCTTTATAGTTTTAGTTATATTATAGGGAGATGAAAATTGTGTTTATCATGAAGAATGACTGAAAGAATAACTGGACTTCAGGTTACTGATGAGGATTTGATATCCGAAATGAGTTTCATTCCAGTGAAGTCATATAACCTGTTTTTGAAAGAAATAATTCCCATATCACTGTTTCGAATGATTTTTTTGGAAGTTCCAAGCTCATCAAGATCAGAGTTCATACAAGTATACTTCTCCTATACATTTCAATCTCCATTTCAATGCTGAACATATTGGTAAGTTATATTTTTATATCATGATACATCATATTATTCTATTCGATTTGAGAGATTTTGATTCTTCATGCTTCAACAATTACAAAACAATTATTCAGAACGATATTATTTGCATATCTTTATATGAAGGAGAATGCAAATTCTCTACTTCAGAAGATTTTGTTTTCAAATTCTTATCGTGTGTTTTCAATAGAGGTAATTCAATATTTGTCGTGGCATATAGCCAGGAAAGTAGTTGTATTCTGTTGAATAAACCGAGAGAGAATTAATATTTTCCTCACATGGAGGATGCGAGTTCTCATTTCTTTACATATATATCTATTTTTTTGTGTTCATAATTATATCTGAGAATATTTTGTTTCAATAATATTTTAAACTGCGATTCTTGAAGAAATCGGAAAAGTTTGAGCATGATTCAGTTACATATCGTAAATTGAGAACAATAGTGTGACAACTCAAAAAAGTTGATTTTCTAGTTAGTTAGAATCGCCGTCGGATAGTTAATTTCGAGCTCTACACTTCTAGAATATGGAGACATTTCTAGGTCCAATATCCGAGCAAGAAAGTGACTTTTTGAGTTGTCACCTAAACTTCGCAGGATACGCCTCGTATTCTGACTTTGAGGAAATTTTTATGATAAATAATGTGACAAGTCATCAAGTCACCTTATTGTTTGAGCACAATTCGAAATTTTTTGAGTTATCACGTTATTACATTTTCATCAAATGTATATTTATCAGTTCTACCAAAGTTTACAGAATAAGTATTTTAATTCTGTAAACTTTGGTTCTACCAACTCTGAACTGACGTTTTAGTTGCGCGATCAGGTGGACAATAAAAAATGTTAGTTGTCATTGGGGAAACTCTGTTCTTCCTAGATCTCTATGTTATGAGATATAGTTAGTGATATAAGTGAATTTTCTAAATATTCGAATCCTTGTTATAATCTCGGTCGGTTCTTACCGACCGACTTGACGACTATCGAGGTAGGAATACCCTGCACAAAAAGCAGGACCACGAGAATGAGCCACTCCTGTGGCAGAACAAAAGCGGGCACTCGCCCGATAATTAGAAATCAGCCTGTATAATCCCGAACTTTCTCCCAACCCCATCCTTACCCCCTCCCCAACCCACAGTATGTCATTACCACAGACGAACTTAAGTTGGTTTTTCTGTTTTTCAATTTTTCCAACAAACAAAAACGTCAAATTAGAGAGTTCAAGGAAACATCCGACGTACAACCCTGCTCGCCCTGAGCAACTCACCGATATCAACCGAATCAAAGGACTTTTATCCTTGGAGTTGGTTCGCTCATGATTGCCATCAGATCGTATAATAAAAAATCTTCGGGCCTGCAACGGCCACCTCTGAGAACTCCCTTGGATTTTACATGTGATAGTTCTACTTATACAGGGTGTAAATTTGAGAACTTTCAATGCGAATATCTCGCGAAATGAAAAAGTTAGAAAAACGCCGCTTGGCAAAAATGCTAAAGAGTTAAGGGGAACTAGAACCACCATATTTCAGTGAAGGGATGAGTGATGAGTCACCCTGTCAGCGCAACACACCCCAACTTTGAAATGTCAAATGGCACTACCTCTTTTGTGATAACTCAAATGAACGGTCTCAGTCAGCAGTATTCACCTGTATAAGACTTTTTTTCCACCCACTACAGGGTGTACAAAAAACATTAATTCGAGGGTCTAAATTTGAAAACTTTCAATGCGAATATCTCGCTAAATAAAACAGTTAGAAAATCGCCGTTTGGTACAAATGCTACAGAGTTAGGGGGAACTAGAACCACCATACCTCAGTAAAGGGTGAGTCACCCCGTCGGCGCGACACACTCCATCTTTGAAATGTCAAATGCACTACCTCTTATGTGATACCCCAAATGAACGGTCTCAGTCAGTAGTATTCACCTGTACAAGACTTATTTTCCACCCAATACAGGGTGAACGGAAAACATACAGTCGAATGGAATAAAATGCAGAATGCCGATATATTCCAAGAGATGTGTTCCAAAATGTTAGAATGGCATTTGAACATCGATTATACTATTGGTTACAACAGAATGTAATGCATTTTGAACATCTGATCAAATAAAATGTCCTTTTAACACAATTCATTTTATTTTATTCGACTTTATATTTTTCGTATACCCTGTAGTGGGTGGAAAAAAAGTCTCGTACAGGTGAATACTACTGACTGAGACTGTTCCTTTGAGGCATCACAAAAAAGGTAGTGCCATTTGACATTTCAAAGTTGGGGTGTGTCGCGCCGACGGGGTGACTCATCCCTTGACCGAAATATGGTGGTTCTAGTTCCCCTTAACTCTTTAGCATTTTTGCCAAACGGTGTTTTTCTAACTTTTTTTTTTCGTGAGATATTCGCATTGGAAGTTTTCAAATTTACACCCTGTATAGGTTTTATATGTTTCACTAGTCACCGTACCTCATGTACTGATTTTTTATTTATTCAACTGTCATGTTATATATGTTTAAGTGAATAAATGGAATTTCAAAGGTCGATTCTTACCGCATTTGAAGCATGTTTTGTGGAATTTGTATCCTCCAGCTACACGTTCTTCTGCAGCGTATACAGATTTCGAGCACTTGGGACATTTTGGGTGTTCTGCGGGTTTGAAAGGCATCTTGATCTATGTGTTGTTGATCTGCAATCAAAGATATGAATTAATGCTGTATCTTCTTGTCATTCATAATGTGCATTGTGCTGTACACGGTGGGCCAGATTAGTCACTTTTGAAGGGAAAGTCCTATTTTCTAACAATAGATAGAAGAAAACTGACGTTGGTGCCTGAAGGTCGATTCTCATGCAAAACTCAATGTATTCGTTTCGGAGCTACAAGGTCTTCTTCGAAAATGGGCATTTTTGAAAACTATTAGAAATTATTGGATTCCAAAAACTATATGCTCAATGATGGACCCATATCCAGTGGCATTAAAATTTCTATCATGAAATTTGTAAGATTGGAAAGGAATAATCATATCCATCAAACGGTGACTAGTTTCGAAAATGAAGCTTTTTTCAGAATAATAGGGTGTGCAGTAACTCTTATTAGAGAAGAAGGAATCTGAAAAAAATAAAATGCTACCAAAGATAGGTTGCATCACAAAAAATAATACGTTTATGAAATCGAGCATATGTAATCCAATTTTCGAAGTATTTTTAACTTCCATGGCTATTTATAATTCTTCGGAATGCACATATTATGCCATTGGTCAAGTTTTACTCTGAATTTTACAGAAGTCATTAGGTCGAATTCAATAATCTGAGAGTGAATTCAAATCTTTGATTTCTCTGAAATATTCTGAAAAAATACACTGACGAGACATTGCGATTCATTCGGTAGGTATTCTTTTTTTTGTGAGTGGGGTTAATGAACTTTTGCAATTCTTGGTTTTTATGATTTTGTTTTTTTTTTAACGAACCATTGAATTTCAACGCATTAGGAGCGAAAAAAAAAATAATATGAATTATGTGAACACCCAATTTTGAATTGAAATTACAGAGTATTTCAGAAATAATTTGTGTGTGAATGCTACTTTATCCATCCTACATTTCGAAATCATTGTAAATCTCCAGTCGAGGTAGGAGTAGATTTATTTAGTAGAAATTCATTCAAGAGTGAAGAAGCTATAAGAAAATCAAAATTGACTTCAGTTCATTGCAATTTATCACTGATAAAAAGCAATGAATCAACATTTGGAATTTCAAAATTGTTGAAAATTATAAATTCACAGTGCACACATAAAAGCATTTTCTCGAAATTGTGAAGAAAGTCACCAATCAGAACAGCAATAATTTTTGTAGTAATTTTGGAAATCATTCAAGTGCAAAAACTGAACGAATCAAAGCAAATTAGACTGGGTGAAATTAATGAATTATTAATTTTCTGATTTCAAAGTGTTTGATGAAACTGGAGGAATGCATCCGTGTAAATTTTGTATTAATAAAATCTTGTTTTCAAATCAAGTTATTCAGTTCTATATAAAACGAACTGTTATAACCAAAACTGATCCTCAAATCAACAAAATCGAAAGTTTCAAAACACACAAATTCGCCGAAAACTATTTCCAAAATTCCAAAAATACATGCGTTGCTATAAGCACTCCTCTACTAGGTCACTTGGCTGATCGCCAATGGCGTAACATTTCACAAACACACGGGGTTAAAAATAGCATAAAGTTTCCATTGGCAATGGGCCAGGAACTGTCTTCATCTGATACCAAATATGGCGACATGCGGCCTAACGCACGGTGTTATATTACAAGAAAAAAAACACCAGCGGGTTAACACACTTTTCTAAATTTCCACTGGGCACTTTCTGAGGGATTCAGCACTCGCGTTTAGGTTTTAAGGCCCTACCTTCGTAAGTGTGGAATGGATAGACCCTTATAGTCCTCGCTACAACCACTATTCGAAATGTCTGGATTGGATCTTGGCGTGTGTTAGTCTATAAAGCTGTTTGCACACGACCCTAAGAAGTAGAGGGGCCAGTCAAAGGCTCTATGAATAAGCGACTAGGCTGGCTATTTTTGAAGCGATGCATAAACGATGAAGTAGATGTACTTTTTCGTGAAAATCCACACCTTTTTCAGAAATTCGATATCACCTTACCACCGAACACCTGAGGACATTCGAATGTTTCCAGAACGTCATCCCAAAATTTTGAAGTATTGCCAGTGAGCCTGGATATATTTTTTTCTAATAATTGAATCATTGGCGATTAAGAAACTGTACATTGCAATCTCTGTACATGAGAAACCGTCAAGTGACTTTCTCCTACCAATGAACAATAACTTATTTAACATTTGCTGCTCTTCCCAGTCCTGATTGAAAGAAGACATTCTTATCAGGCAGTGTGAACGGAAATGCAACAAGAATAACTGATAGAAATTGAAAAGCAAAAGCTGAAAACTTCAATTCCAATCATTTCCTCACCAAGTGGGAACAAATCAATCAGAAGGATTGATCAGCATTTGTTTTTATCTTTTGTAGTGCACCAAAGCAAATTCTTATACTATGTCCGTGAAACATTATACCTCCTAGGAAGATAAGGGAGAGGTCCTGATGGATTTTTTCCCTTCCGCAAGTTATACGTTTTTGGGAATATTCAGAACATAGACGAACTACTGTTGATAAAGAGTATTTCGACATATCTCAAGGTTGACGCTGAAAGGATGTGCTGATTGGACTTGTCAAGTTTGTCTGATCTGTATTGCTAGTGATGGAATGAGAGCTGAAATATCTGAAGAACATGCATTTTCCATGAGAGTATCTATACACTCTCTAGTAAGTATACTAGAATTTTCCAGATTATGCTCAGCAGTTGAAGTGAAAAGTTATACATATCATAGTGAGCGAGAGCTTATTTCAGCACAATTTCAAAGTAGCTAGAAAAATTTGAAGTTAATACTGAATGCTTTTCTTGAAACTGCTGCCTAGCATCAGCATGGTCCTTAAATGATTGAGATTGTGGCTTCTTGTACTTTGATCATTGAATATTGAATACACAATTTAAGAAAAGCCGATATACAAGGTATTTTGATTCCCAAGGAATATCCCCATGATATCAGATTTTTCCTGATTCTTTCAATTAACGAGAAATTCCATTCCATGAATTGAACAAAATTCGAGAAAAAAGTCAAGTACTCCACTTTGAAACAATTTGAATGATTTAACTCCGCGTGATTGTGCCTACCGCATTGAATTTTGAACAGAGGTGACGTCAGATTTGCTACAGTGTAGAACTTTGGGTGGAAAAAGGGGTCTAACCTCAAATTTCATGTTGATCCCTAAATTTTTTTATTATTGCCACTCGATTGTACACGTCGTGCTTTCTCAGTGTTTGAAATATTTGCACTTATCCCAATGCCACCCTGTATAAAATATTTCTGTGCTATCAAAGTCTATATTGAGTGTTGTTATGAACAATTCAAGGAAGTCTCAATTTTTATCAGCAATTCTGTTACATGATTATCTCCAAAATCACACGCAATATGTGGTTTTGTCAACTATTCCTACCTCACACATGTTCCACGCCACTGATGATATTTTCATCATAAAACATTTCTCAAATATGCTGTTCAGTTTAGTTGAAATGACCTGGAACCTTCAACTGGGCTGAAATTAGCAGTTTTCGAGATATCAATACCAAAATACAAACTTTTGAATATGCATTGCGATAATCAATACAGATTGACTGAAAATAGAATGGAAAATACATAATCAGTGTTTTGTATATTTTGTGTTTGTTTTTATTGAATAATATAATTTTCAATTTTAATTTTATATATCTATATGACGTGTCCGATTCAATATCAACATTATTTATAATATTTTAATTCGGTTTCAATTTTGTTATTGTTTTTTCCTGGAATACTGTTTCCATATTTGGAGTGCAGCACCCAAACATACCCTGAAACTGTTGGATTCTGTCAAAAAAAGGGCAATTCATCTCGTGGGTGATGCCTCGCTCACAAACTCACTCACTTCTTTGGAACACCGTAGAAAAGTTGGCGATCTGGCTCTATTTTATAGATATTTTCATGGAAGATGCTCTCCTGAAATATCAACGATTGTTCCTCCCTTGGCAGTCCCCGCGAGATTAACCCGTCGAGTTGAGGCTTCGTGGTCACTTTGGAGACCTGCAGAACATCTCTTCCCAAAGACTCGTTCATCCAACGAACAGCGAGGCTCTGGAACACATTGCCAAGGGAGGTGTTCCCTGAGGCATATAACCTCCAGAAATTCAAGAAGAACACCAATTCCTACCTTATTTCCCTTGGTTCTCTCGATGTTCTCTGAACATTACAGGAGATCCCTTTCCGTGGGAACCAGAACATAAAAAAATGCTGCTTTGTCTATTAGATTCCTTCTTCTCGGAAAATACAGCATAATTCGATTTCATTTCATTGAGAAAATTTGTTCTTTCTCATCGTGACACCATACTCAAAGTTATTCTGAAATAAACCCTAGAACTTTTCTGACTCTTCTGATGAACCATGTAGGTAGTGGTCAAAATATGACACCCAATCACCATTACTACAAATGTTTGTCAGTCACGTTTGCTTGTACAAACATTATAGAGTTCATTGAGGGTCTTATCTGAGTCTTCTTTATATATTTTTGAGTGAATCAAGCAACTGCTGTTATTATGAAATACTGTTGAGTGTTGAGACTGAATGTTGTGAAAATATCTCAAAACAATTATTGTCATGGAATCACGGACAGAAGAGAATCACCAAAATATTTTGTCCCATATTGACAACAACTTTTTCTGTAAATATAACAAAAGTTTTGTCATTGAAAAAACATTCGATATGCATAATTCAAACTGTTACATAATTTGTTTATTTGAAAAAAAAATTATTGGAGTAACAAACCTGATGTCATAAAGTGACAAAGCTTTTGTTAATTCAAATGATCTTTTCTCTCCGAACATTGGATTGAAAGACCTTTTAGAAATACGCAGCGTTTTTTAGGTTATGGAAAAGGTGAAAGTATATAAATATACGAATTAATATCCAATACCTGCGAAGAAACACGTGCAGTTATTTATAAATATTTCAAGAGTTCAATGGGGAACAAGACATCGCGGAAGCATAACTCTGATATAAACTCATAATGGTGAATGTTTATCTATTTATATAACTTTGAAACTCAAAATAGGTCAACTGCATGTATTGTTGACAACAGGAACCTATTATCTAACAGAAATCTTCTTTACTTTTTCTGCTAACCATCAGTGTGGAGATAGTTGGACTACTCTTCACAATTTCATAAGTTACCTACTTATATCAGTTCAATGTTGACAAGATTAGTTTCAACATTAAATATAGTCAAAAAATGTATCATGTTTGACATTTTGTGAAAATCCTATCATACGCCCTGACTCAGTTTTGCAAAAAGTTTTTATTGGAAAAGCTATAAATTATCGTGAGGTGCACATGTTCTCTCAGTTGGCTTCCAAGTCTATCACCTACTCATTTTGAAATAATCACACGAAAACATAACTGTCAACCGATTGTGTGCTGTATATTTCATTTATGAAACAGAAAACATCATTAAAATCGTTTCGGACTTTAAACATGTGCTCAAATGTAACAAACATCCATAGAAAATTTAGTATCACAGAAAAATTAACCAACTGAGTTTTCTAGCGATTAGAAAAGTTTTGGTGATGAATATGATGTTATGAATTCATCTAATCCATTATTGTTATATCACAAATCAGTTTATCAGCACTTCAATAGTTATTTGTTTAACTAGGCAGCAAAGTAGTAGTCAATCTACTTTGCTGTATCCTTGTATACTTGTTCTCATTCTTTCATCGTTCCTCGTTTCATATTTGAATGTAGAAATTTGTGAAATTTCTCACAATTATGGTAGTTCAACGAAATATTTGAAGAAAAACATACTGCCCTTAGGGAACGTGGGATTCCAAAAATCACGAAACCATTTCGAGCTCACATGGTGAACCACACTCTTACAAAATTTGAAGATAATCAGATTCATTCAACTCACACCAGGTCGAGCTTTGAGTGTAAATTCTGAGGATGGCAGTCACTACATACATAATTTCATTATTTGACGTACTTTTCAACTCCAAAACTCCACGACAAGTCGATGGAAAATCTGATGTTGCAGCATTTGAATATTTCTGATGCATTTCGATACGAAAACTCCAATATGTTTGATACCATAATGAAAGAAACACCACAAATCACAATGTTCAGGAAAAAATATCGTATCTCTCTACCAATAGTTACTTTTCGAAAAATAACGAAATGATTTCAAGAAAACCACAGAAAACAACAGAGTATGGTTATCATAAGTCTTGAAAAAATTTTTTCTGCTAACAAAAGACATTTCAAATTGGGGCTATTTTTCACACCATCATTCATCACTCTATAGTCAGTCTTCCAGTTACAAATTTTCTAGTCAGTGCTTTCGTAAAGTACTGAATAAATTATTTTTTTCTGTGACGGGAAAAAAGTTTGGCATTTCATCTCTGTTGGCAGGTTATAAAATGTCACTTTTCATAAATTACTTTTTTCCCGTGGGAAAAAAGTGAGTACTTTTTTCCCGGATATATATCACATATATATACTCTGTTAATGGCTTTTGTTGTGCTATAGTTCCGAAAAATGAGTCAATAATACCGTCTCCGAGAAAGAACTGCAAGTCCATTTATCTTCCATTCGACTTCGCGGTTTCGTATATTACTAAACAACTACTGAATTCGTAATTTTTTGAAATCAAATCACAGAATTGAACTGACAGAAGTGACATCAGATATTTGATTACTTCAAAAGAATGATAAAGATGTCTATAAAACGCAGGTGTCCCTACTGTTAAAAACTTGAAATTTCACGTTGATAATTTTCACATTTCGAAATAATGTAATATCTTCTCAATATTGATTCGTCCTTCCTTCTGTCACAGAAAAAAATAGTGTATTATACACGGGAAAAATATTAGATTTTAGCTCACGGTTTTTTGTCTCCCTCCGCTACGCGTCGGGAGACAACACAACCTGGAGCTAAAATCTACTACTTTTTTCCCTTGTATAATAAATAACTATTTTCATCCCAACTATCCATTTCTGAGAATTCTCCTGAACCAGGTCGATTTTTATTTTCAATTCAAGTGAAAACC